AATTTATAAAATGTACCGAAAAGTTAGAAGTATTCACAACAAACAACTAAATGTGGGCTTCAAGAAATTTATTTTACTGATGGATCTCTTCTTTGCTGATTATAAACTGATAGTCTGTTCCTGAATATATCATCTGTTTGACCAAAAAGAGGCGGCATGGCCGAGTGGTTAACACATCAGACTATTAATCTGCATGGGTTATACTCTGTCAGGGGCAAGTAGTTGTTTCCTTGAGTAATAAACTTTACACTTACTGCTCAGTACTGGTTGGTTCAAGGTGTGTCTTTAAGCACTAAGCTTCCTACACAATCAAACTAAAATAAATTCTGTATAAAACCAACTGTTTGACTTATGTAAATTTCACATCACCCATTATTACATATTAATACATAAAGTGCAATTTTATTTTGTACAATCCATTAATAAGAAATGTTTTATTCATAGCAAATCATTTTTAGCTCGACTATTCGAAGAATATGAGAGCTATTGTAGTCGCGTCCGCGTCAGCGTCCGCGTCGGCGTCTGCGTTGGTTAAAGTTTTTTGTAAAGTCAAATATCTCAATTATTACTTGAGATATTCAATTGAAACTTACAATACTTATTTATAGTAACAAGGTTCATCAGATTGACAAGTTGGATAACTCTGCCTACAATATTGATAGAATTATGCCCCTTTTTAACTTAGAAATTTTGGTTAAAGTTTTTTGTAAAGTCAAATATCTCAATTATTGCTTGAGATATTCAATTGAAACTTACAATACTTATTTATAGTAACAAGGTACATCAGATTGACAAGTTGGATAACTCTGCCTACAATGTTGACAGAATTATGCCCCTTTTTAACTTAGAAATTTTGGTTCAAGTTTTTTTGTAAAGTCAAATATCTCAATTATTGCTTGAGATATTAAATTGAAACTTACATTACTTATTTATAGTAACAAGGTACATCAGATTGACAAGTTGGATAACTCTGCCTACAATTTTGACAGAATTATGCCCCTTTGGAACTTAGAAATTTTTTGGTTAAAGTTTTTTTGTAAAGTCAAATATCTCAATTATTGCGTGAGATATTCAATTGAAATTTAAAATACTTTTTTATAGTAACAATGTACATCAGTTTGCAAAATTGCATAACTCTGCCTGCAATATTTGCAGAATTATTTGCCCCTTTGAAACTTAGAAATTTTTGTTAAAGGTTAAAGGTCTTCAAAGATATTTACTTGAAACTTTACACATGCACTTAGGGTCATAATTGGAGGGTCATAATTGTATGTCACTGACCAAGTTCCATAACTCCATCTTGCATTAAGGCTGATTCATATCCCCTTTCTACTTAGTCTCTTGGTTAATGTTTACATGCAAGTTTTACATATCTCAATAACTATTAAAGATATTTATTTAAAACTTCTTATATGCAATTAGGGTCATAATTGTAGGTCACTGAAAAAGATCCATAATTCTATCTTGCATTTAGGCTGATTTTTCTCCCCTTTTTTCAACTTAGAAATTCATGGTAAAGTTTTGCTTGTAAGCTGTTATCTCAATAACTACTTAAGGGTTTGTGTTTTTTTTGGGACAATTTTATGCATTCATGATAACAAAGCAGTGATTTACTTGATAAAACATCTTAATAACAAGCCTTTGTACCTTTTCTGTCAAATTTATGTATTCATAGGTAATTAGTATTATTATACTCAATAAAACACCCTTGTGACATTTCCTTCTGAACAGTCAAGGCAATACTGTATAATTAGACTCTCTCTAAGGCCTATAACATGAATTTATAAAAAAGAATTAGCCCTTTTGTGAACTTAAAAAATTATACATTATCAAGGCTCTTTTATTATCAAGCACTTAGAATAGTCGAGCGTGCTGTCCTACCGACAGCTCTTGTTATTATAATAATACTAATCACATCTCTGGTGTTACTAGAGTTATTTTGAAGGTTGAATTTACTGTTATGTACTATTTAGAAAAGAAATTTTCTTGCCATCATTTTAGCACTTTTTACATTTTTTTTTTTTTACAAAATACAATAAAATATGTGTCTTGTTTTTGCTTTTGCAGATGGATGACTCATATAGTATTGGGGTTAAAGCCAGAAATGAAGGCACAGACGCGAACCTTGGCTGCGAGGTTCAATGATATACACCCATCCCTTCTCCTCTTCCTGCACAGACTTAGGGAAATAACTATAGAAAACAAGGTGAGAACAATAGCTTATAAAATTACTTCTTCCTACAGAGACTAAGGAAAATAACTATAGAAAACAAGGTTATAAATTTACTCTTGGTTAGAATAAGTTGACAGATATGTAAAAAATCTGCACAAAAAACTAACAAATTATTGTTATTATTTCCACTTTTTGAACAAACAAAGTGGATTTGCTCAGTCTGAGTGCAACTTAGTGAAAATATCATTGTCTAATGAGTAACCTCTGAAAATATAAGAGTAGGTTTGTTAAACTTGGTTGAGGCATTGTCCATGACAAGTAGATGACCTGGCCAGACCCGTAATAAGACGTATAATGTGAAAGTCTTGTCTAATTTATAGAGTTTCCCCACTCATAGTATTGTGAAAAATAGTATTTATAATACTGTATCATTATATAAATATACATGTACAAGGTATAACTAATTAATGTTACACTTCACCTTTACAAAATATAAATTTGGCAACGGCAGGGAAAATGAAGTGGAGGCACAAGTGTCCAGTGGACGCTTTTCTAGTTTAATCCTGAACCTACTGAATTTGTGTTATGAATTTGTCCATGTTTTAATTTAGAGGATTCCATTTAAAACTTAAGGGATTTCTTTATCAGAAGACACTTATTGAGCTGCCAATAGTATTAATCCTAGACAGACTGTTTGCAAGTGGTGGTGGTGTTGGTAGTTTACCATCCAGATCATGGCAGTAAGCCACTTTGAATTCACCAGAGCACAGTTTTGCCACTGCATTGTTCCTGGGCAGGCTGTCAAGCAATTTACCTTCACTTTCGCAAGGAACTGATCATTTCTGTACATGCCAGAGCAGAGGTACAGTTTTAATGATCGTACAAAGAATTTTATGATCATTTTCCAAGAAAGTGACCTGAACTGTTTAGGAATTGAACCTGGGTCACCCGTTTCACAGTCTAATGCTCTATGTGTTATAATTGAACTCAAGTACAGACTGGTCTCCTTTTATACTGGTGTTGGTAAAGACAAATCACTTCTAGTTTTACAGATCATGGGTTAAGTTTTAAATGGCTAATCACTTGTAGTATTAAGTTTAAATGGACATTGTTGCAGGTTGAGAACAGTGTACAGACGATGAGGAGACGAGATATAGGTGACAGTGTTGTAGAAATACAACATTCACATGGCAGTGAACGATGGCTGGTTGTTAAAAAAATGTTAGATGCCAGAAAGATTTCTCTACAGGCCAAGTCAGGAGCTGATGTGGAATCCACAGAAATAGCCCTAGCATTTCCTCTAAAACAAAACAGTGAGCAAAATCTGCAGGTAAGATATTAGTTAGTATTTATGTGTGAAATACAAATTCTTAAGCTATCATATCTCCTTTTGACTGTAGACCATATACTATGTATTGTTACTGTGTTTTGAAAGGCACATTACACATAAAATTAGGATGATTTAGGTAATTGGTAAATAAGTAACTTTTTGGAAACTATAACATGACATCAAATATAAAAAGCGTTTGAGAAATTAAAAAAGAAAGCCTTTCTGGGGAATTATGGGCCTCATGTTTCTCTTGTTCATTTCAAAGAATCTTCCATGTTAAGTGTGTGGCAGAAGCAATCATCACTAGAAAACTATATAAAACTGTTATAAATTATTTGAAGTAGAGTAGACAGTGACGGTTATGGACACACACGCTTGGAAATATCTCCTACAAGAAATAACCATTTTTCCTCAGTTTCTAAAGAAATAGTCCTAACAGCTGCCAAAAAAGCCATCTGTTGTGTTTCAACTTTTGAGAAAAAATAAAAAAATAAACTTTTGTCTTGTCTCTTAAAAGAAGTGGCTGTACTGTGCTTGTATAACTAAATATCCAACCGGGGGGGGGGGGGGGGGGGGGGGGGGGGGGAGAGAATAAATTCAACTAATTTCCTCTAACTTATATGACTGTGTTAAATCTTTATTTGCTCTATAACCCTCACCTAACAGCCATACATCTGTCTTAGTATATGCATGTGTTTAGTGTTTCATGTATGTACTATAGTAAAAGATTTATATAATTTTCAGACTATGCCACCAAAGCAACCAGTGTTTGCTTTCTTGCCACTAAGAAGTTACGGGTTCAGATTTATCATACAAGGTACAAATCTTATTTTATCTGTGGTATATTAATATGATTGATTTACTATCATAATAATCATTTTTGAAATACATTAACTTATTTTACAGGTGTGTTTGCTTTCTTACCTTTGACTTAGTTTATTATTACAGATGCTTATTAAAAAAAGATTCTTTACAAAATTTTATTTTGAATTGGCAAGTTGTATGGATTGCTGGCCTTTAAAAATGATTGTTAATATCAAAATAGAAATAAGCAAAGATTTCTGCCTCTCATTTATAAAATGTACAATGTTTGTCTCCAAAATCAATACTGTAATGATTTTTAACACTCTTGTTGAAATAACATTAATTATAATTACGGTACATGTACTTGGTTTAAGAACAGTACAAAAGTCATCCACTAGGGAAATGCCCATGTTAAAAATCTTCAAATGTTAAAACACCATTTTAAATTAACAGATATAAAATAAGCAAAAAATTAATTATGATGAAAATAATCCAAAGTACAGAAATTATTCTGGTAATTAAATCTGTGACAGCAAAAGGCTTAATGATGTATGAATGGTAAGTAATTCTCAAGATACTCCTATTACACATAGTGTCTGTTTTTTTTAGGAGATTTTGATGTACCATCAAGTCGTGAAGATGTAGACAGAGACAGTCCATGGAATCAGTGGCTGAGAAATGAAATACCCATGGCATTTATTGATGCCCTTGATGCCTTTAAGGTAGGTTCACTCTTACAAGGAAATTTCTTAAAAATAAGAAGAAAATGGAGAAGTACAACACAAATTTTTACTTGCATAATCAAAGAATATGATATTTCTAGATTAAGTTAATAACAGGCTCAACGGTCGAGCTTTTTTTTTAAGTTGTTGAGTTAGAATAACTTGCCCTGCACTGCATTGGGTTTAAATCCCATTAACATCTTGGATCATGTTGTATAAAACTGTTGAGTCTGTGCACTTAGCTAAATAGGGAAAACATCAGATTAGTAACCCATTGGTTGTAGGGGCAATCCTTGGTTGGAGTGAAATGTCTTAGTGACAGTTGATCTTGAACGTCCAGTCTAATGGTCATTTGTCTCTCATGGCCAATAAAGATATTATGGGGAATAAGTAGTCTGTCACTTCCATAGGAACCGGTTAATTACTGGGTAGTTATCAAGGAAAACCAGTTAGGTGTATTAACTGCCGATATGACCTAAACAGTGTTCAAATTAGTATAAAAACCAGAAAGAAAAAAAATAATGAAACGAAATCTGTCGTAACAAGGTAAAAAAATGACTTTGGGTTAATTACAAGATTGTCAGACATTAGTCGTTGTATACAGAATGATGAGGCTTTGTTATCTTTATTTAATTGATATGAAATTTAATTGTTCGGCTGTAACAATTACATATGATATTTGTAGGTGAACTTAAGAAGAACTAATATTTAGCCGAACGTAATTAAACCCAATACTCTTAATTAGTTTGTATTGTAAAAAATATTTGCAATATTTTGCAGACACATCAAGAATTTAGCAGCATAGAAGCAGTGTGTAAATTTCTACAGTTTGTTCCTATGGAAGATGAGGTCCTTGATTTTTTCAAACCAGTTGCCTCGGACATTCTGAAAAAACTGCGGGCAAAACCTTGTGTGCCTACGCAGCCTAATGATCAAGGTATGCCCAAACCAGAAAAACAAACAAACAACACATCTGACTACAGTAAAAACCCGCTAATGAGACCAATGAAGGGACTTTACAAATCTGGTCTTAATAGCGGGGTGGTCTCATTAATGAGTTTGGTCAAACAGAAAACCAGGCAATATATTAAGGGATACCAAGTACTGTACACATGTTTAATTCTGGGCTAAACTTTTTCAAATGAGAAGATATTAAACATACACTATTTTTTTTATTTTTTTTTCATTTCTTTTGTTTTACTTTTTAACATATAAATTTTTTAGACTTCTTTAGAGGTACAAAATGTACTATGAATGTCTTTAAACGCAAACATATTTTTACATTCTTGTTAAAAGAATGACATGACTTACTCAATTAAATCACCATTTTACTGCAAGGCACATCGACCAATTAACCTTTAATTATTTCGCCGATAAAAACTTCAAAAACCTAATCGTATCATGTTTAATTTATGTTTGTTTAAAATTATGGAACGAAAGAGATAATGATAGCAGCAACACCTCTAGAAAACTTATTGAAAGTTTTCTGTTCAATATTTTGTTGTTTTAAACCTCCAGTTATGACATTAAAGGTGTGAAAAATTAAGAAATTATTGACAATATTATTGATCATTTCCGGATTTGATACAAAGTAACCTTGACCTCTGCCGTAAATTGGATGTCGTTAAATGTCGTAAAACTAGGACAACTGTTGTTTACACTACGTGTCAAAAAGATTTCAGCAATATACATGCATGTCAATATCAAGGTGAGGAAGTGCCCGCGGTCGTATTTATGGGTTTCCAAATGTACAGAATTTACGAAATGGGACTGAATTTACTGGTCGTATTACGGAATAACGGGGTGGTCTCAAAATCGGGGTTAGCGACCATTAAAATAAAGAATAAAAAAATCGGGTCTTTGAAAAATCGTTCGTATTAGCGGGTTGGTCTCGAAAACGGGGTGGTCGTAAAGCGGGTTTTTACTGTATATACTAGTTACATAAATTATGAAATAGAAAAACACACTACTTTACTTTTCATGAATATAACATTTGTATTACAAAATGACCATTGATATAAGAATAGCTAAAGTTGATTTATACAGAATTTATTTCTGTTTGATTGTGTAGGAAGATATGAGCTTAAAGACACACTTTCAAATTCGTTCCTGGAACCAACCAGTACTGAGCAATGAGTTTAAAGTTTCTTGCTCAAGGAAACAACAACTTGCCGTTGCCAGGGTTTGAACCTGTGCGGCTAGCGATCATTCGATTACTAGACCAATAGTTAAAGTTACATAGACATAGAAATATAAGAAGTCTTTTACTTCTTTGTCATATATATTCAAAATTCTGTTTTGCACACAAATATATATTTATCACATAAACCACGATGCAAGAGTGTAATAAACCCATCATATAAAAACACAAAATTATACAATTGTCATTGTCATTTACTTTACATAAAAAAATTGTGCTAAAGTGCGCTAATGTTAGCATCACAGTATAAGCGCATCAATGAAAAATCCCTCTTTTTAACTGTAATCAGTTAATATATTAGATATGTGATAAATAGAATATTATATTTGTGTAGATTCAATACTAAATTTATTGCATAATTTAATTTTATTCAACTCGTTCAATAAATTTTCTCATTTATTATCCTCTATATAATATTTAAAGGTGCTATAAGTTGGAAGATCCCCTCACAGACAGTGATCATCAGGGACCCGCTGGTACATAAAGTGATTACAGCTGATCTACTACAGACCCACTTGAACCTGTTTTACCTGCATAATGATGTAGCCTCAATACTGAACCAGAGTTTGAGCTCTTGTCTAGGCATTGAGACCTTGACTTTTGACCATTTGTTTCAGCTTGGAAAAGCCCTTGTAGTGGATATGGGAAACACATGTAGTGAGTTAGATATGTATTTGTGAAATATATTTATGTCTTATTTTCTATATTGATACATATCTGGTAACATGATGAAACTGCTTCCTGAACAAAATATATGACAATACCATACCTTGACTTAGTAGATTATATGAGCCGTGTCACGACAAAACCAACATAATGGGTTTGCGACCAGCATGGATCCAGACCAGCATGTGCATCCATGCAGTCTGATCAGGATCCATGCTGTTCGCTTACCAACTCTATTACAAGTAGAGAAACTGATAGCGAACAGCATGGATCCTGATCAGACTGCGCGGATGCGCAGGCTGGTCTGGATCCATGCTGGTCGCAAACCCATTATGTTGGTTTTGTTGTGACACGGCTCATATCTTGATGCATGGTCATGAGCTCTGTAAGTTTTAACTTGAAGCATTTGAATCTAGGAGGTTTTAATTTGAGGCATTTTAGTCCGGTAGGTTTTATCCTGAGGTGTTTTGAATCTAGAAGGTTTTTATTTTGAAGCAATCTCATGAAATCCTGTAGATTTTACTTTAAAGGGACTCCACTGAGGTTTTTTGACATGATGGGACTGCAATTTTTTTCCCAGATAAATGTACCATTTGATGTAGGTTTTAGACCTCTAATCTTTGTGCAAAATTTCAGATCATTCGCGCATTTCGTTTTTCCAGAATAATTATTCTTAACTATCTTTGCATATATTTCTGTTTAAAGTGTCCCAGATCATTTATGTAAGAAATTCAAATGTTATGTTTTTAGGCTTTTAAACCTCAGTGGAGTCCCTTTAAAGCATTTTAGTATTGAAACATGCTCATTAGTAAAAGAGGTGTTTAACCTTAGGCTTCAAATGCTGACACCTTTACCTGTGGTTATGTGCGCCACTTCTGTGATGGGGTTTATTATAAATTTATAAGTGCAAATTAAGGAAATTTGTGTTTGTTTTTAAAAAGTCTTTGACAATAGTAAATCAGTATAATTTATACACTTTTCAGCAAAGGAAGAAGATGTAGTCCTGATAGCACAGTGGATGGCATGTTTGTATCGTAGCTTGGATGAGTTTCATCATGAAGATACCATATTAAACACGCTGAAGTCATGTCGTATAATGCCCTTGGCCAGTGGAGAACTTGTAGCTTTAAAAGATAAAACTGTTTTCTATCCTGAAGAAAACAGCACGAAAAAGAAAAAGCCTTCTGGTATGTTAAATATTTATAATTTTCAATTTGGCGAATTTTATGATTCATTTGATGTTCTACTTAATATGCCCCCAAATGAAAAATTGGGAGCATACTGTGATGGCCAGTCAATGACCTGTGATTTTGAGGTCAGTAATGAACCTTTTTGTCAAAGGTCAAGGTCACCATGACCTTAAAAGCTTTGTCTGACTATTAAGTAGGGAATATTTTTGCAAATTTTCTGAGTGTAAGACCCCTTTTGATTTTATATTTTGTTTTTTTGTTGCTTAAAAGGTATTTAATAAAAAAATAGACAGTTTTCCAAATTAAATATAAATAAATACAAAAGATTCTTTATGTCAAACCTCTATGTTAACGCAGTATTTATTTATTAAGACAAAATGATGATTTGAACCAAATTTTGTAAAATTGATTGGTCTTGAAATGAATTTGGGACTGTTCATTTTCATTTACTGTGAAATTATTATTCGTGGGGCACAAATTTTCGTGGTTTTCATGGAAAGGTCAATCCACAAATTTAAGACCCGACGAAATTTTATCTCAACAAATATTTTCCATGTCTCTGTTTCATATATCAATATATCACAACATGCAACGGCGCTTTTCCGACCAATTTTGTGGTATGAATGTATACTAATAATCAGGTCTTTGACAAATTAAATCCCAAAATAGTTTAGTTTTGCAATATTTAATAAACTTGAAAAAAAATCGTGTGTATGTTTTCAGTTTACTGTCACAAATGTTCGTCGCATATAAACATCAGGGGACTACTTGATCATTGTAGGCTACTTGTGTTAGCCAGAATACGTGACATAATTGAGTAAAAATGGGAACCCATTGCATTAACTAGCGCCGATAAAATTTTACACCACTAGCATTTATATGATCCATTTAAATGAATTTAAATATGTATTTGTGTGACTGCTATACTGAAAATATCAAAGAAGCAGCCGTCTTTTTAGTAGATGCACACATACCTGTATTGAGCCACTTACTCATTTATCATATATGCATATAAATTTACACAGTCAATGTGACGTAGTGTGTAGTTTTGGACAGATTCAGGGTGTAAATTTTTTACTCGCTGGTTGAAAAGTGGCAGATGTCGTATAATTTATGCGATGTTAACATTGGCGAATTAAAGGGCAGTGTTACCAATGGAGCTGCATATCATGTCACACAAATGTGTTAATTGCTGTCAATTATCGTCAGTAACTGTGTTACTCCCAGAGGCAAGGATTAAATTTATTGACAAGAGCTGTGTTGTATAAACGCAGTAAGTAAAGCAGCGCGGTGATTAAGTGAAAGATTACGTTCCATTGCTTTTTTTTTTACAAGAAAATGAAAATCAACAAATTTAAGAACCCATGAAAATGCCAGTTTTGATAAAACCACGAAATTTCATGCCCACGAATACAAATGATTTCACAGTATAAGGGGTTTCAATGTAAAGCAGCCAGAAGTATGAGAGTTTATATATTAAGATTGTATAGAGATGCAGGCTGGCTAACCTCTACACTAGTGGCATAGGTCTGTCAATAATATAATAATGTATTAAAGAGTATTAATGTATAATTTCAGAGACGTTATCCCTGATTCATCAAGATGTTAACAGTCTGAACCCATTGTTGATGAACACAGATGATGATGAGGTGAACAGTCAGGTTCACAAACTCTTGTTACGACTAGGAATTAAACAGTTGTGCCCTTTTGATGTGATTAATTATCATATATTACCTGTACTGAGGACGAATGCACTGGAGGTAACGTATAAAGATTGTGTACAGATATTTCTCAAAATTGAAATAATATTTCATGTTATATAAATATTGTTTTGATACATGTTTTAAAAGTGAAGTTAAGTTATGTAATCAGTATCTGTCAAAGATCTTGTTCAGTATTCCATTTATATGTCCGAGATAAGCTGTTTCCTGTTTTCTATTTATACATTTCAGCAAAGCACTGCTCTGTTGTCCATTTATATGTCTCAGCTAAACTCTGTCCCATTTTCCATTTACAAGTGTCAGTTAAGCCCTGGCCTATTTTTCATTTACAAGTCTCAACTAAGCTCTGCCCTATTTTCCATTTACAAGTCTCAACTAAACTCTGCCCTATTTTCCATTTACAAGTCTCAGCTAAACTCTGCCCTATTTCCATTTACAAGTCTCAGCTAAGCCCTGCCCTATTTTCCATTTACAAGTCTCAACTAAACTCTGCCCTATTTTCCATTTACAAGTCTCAGCTAAGCCCTGCCCTATTTTCCATTTACAAGTCTCAACTAAACTGTGCCCTTTTTTCCATTTACAAGTCTCAGCTAAACTCTGCACTGTTTTTCATTTACAAATCCTGGCTAAGGTCGGCCCCGTTTTCTATTTAAATGGCCCAGCTAAGCTCTGCCTCATTTTCCATTTAGGTGTCTTGGCTAAATTCTGCCCTGTTTTCCATAAGGCTTGACCCTCTTTTCCATTTATATGTTACATCTAAACTCTGATTTACCCACAATATGCCCTTAGGAGAAATGTGACTTAAAAGTGTTAATGAGCACTAATAAGTCACTATTGATATAATAAAATAATATAATAAAATCCCACCACTGTTATCAGATAAATATTTATACTGTATCTGTATTGAATACAGACATTAGTTGTTAAGTACATGTAATGGAAATTTTGTTAAACAAATTAACAACTTTTTTTTCAGACGAAATCAGCTGAAACACTAGTTGCATATCTGGTATACATCAAAGAACAAACAGAGAAGCAGTCGTCTGTCTGCAACCTTGAAGAGATCAAGGACGTTGCCATGGTGAAGACCAATCAGGGCTTCAAAATCCCGGCAAAGGAACCAGTCCATTTTTCACCAAAATATGGAAACCCAGTCAACTTACAGGAAACATTTTTTGGTAAGGGCAGATAAATAATAATCAATGATTACATGTTATGATTTTATGTACCAATGTGTAGGAACATCTGTGTCTCACTCAGCAACAACTAGAATTTAATTTTTAGGCCACAACAATTTTAGGACAGAACAGTTTTAGTGCAACAACAATTTTAAGCCATAACATTCGCAACAGTTTTAGGTTACAAAAGTTTTAAGCCACAAATTTTAGGCCACATTAATTACAACAGTTTTAGGCCACATTAATTTTTAGGCCACAACAAATACAACAGTTTTGGGCCACAAAAATGTTAGGTCACAACAAATACAACAGATTTAGGCCACAGCAAATACAGGCCACATCAAAAACCACAGTTTAAGGTACTTAATTAAAATTCATAAAGCTGGAACGTCAACATATGACCTTTACTGTGTCTGTGTGACGTAAAACCCTATCAAACAAACAAACAAACATTCAAATTCATCATGATTGTAGGTAAATAACCAAGACCCATAAATTATGAGTGGATATTTACTGAATTATTCCCCATGATGGAAAAGTATACATGGTTCTTAGACTATCAGAGATGATGAGACAGGTGGTTCCATGGAAGCAACTCTTAAAACAATTATGAGACAACAAAATCATTATTTCTCTGAAAAGTTGAAACACTGCTTTTGCTATGGTAACAGATACAAAAATGTTTTACTGTGTTCCCCAGGATATGATTGGACACTGTTAGATGATTGCTATTTGCCAGAGGCGTGTTCACAACCAGTTCGTGCTGGTTGGATGGACTTTTTTAAGAAGCTAGGAGTGGAAGAGTTCTTGTCTATTAGACAGACAGAAATTAAACTCAAAAGGGAAGAACTGGTATGTTACATTAAAATTTAATACCAAAATTTTTTATTTGACCTCTTGACCTCTTGTTTGCTGATGACAATTATTGTTGTTTTTTTTATCAGCTTTGTAGAGCAACAAAATTGTTGGTTTGGCGTCCTATGACCTGAACTGTGCTGGTGCACCGTAAAATTATACCAAACAAAGTAAATAAATATATTGTAGAGCATCAGTGAGATAGATTGCACTTCGAAACTTGTGACAGATGGTAAACATTTAACTGATAAGATAAGTCTAAGAATTACTATCTAGAAATGATAATGCAAATGATATTAGACACTTTCAAATATCCATTTGTACAGATTTTTCGACAATTTTAATGTTATGGTTAGAAAATGCTATCACTGCCTTCAAAAGTTCTTGGTAGTCAAAGAAAAAAATATTTGTTGAAAGAAAAATAATATTTAATTATTCTTTAATAGTTTAAATATACTTATGGCACTTTTTGGAAGAGATGTCTTTATTTTTTAAGATGAAAGTTAGAAATGTTTTCAGTCTGAAAATAAAATAATGTTGTGTTTTTCCCTTTAAGAAACTTGTTTTTTATATCAGGTTGATTCACCATGGAGTGAGGAGAGCACATCATGGCCAGTCGAAAAGTCCGAGTTTATCATACATGATTATCAGTGTGCGGAGCTTGAGGGTCTTATTACACGGAACCAGGCCACCAGCAGGGAAGATTATGCCAAGCAGATGAGAAGTTTGTGTACGTACCTGGACAAAAACTGGGAAAATAATTTATCTAAATATTGTTTGACCCATGTTCATGATAAAGATGGAATTCCTATTAAAGAAATAGATACTTCATTCAGTAGTTTGCTGAAAACTGCATCTTGGTTGCCGGCGATCCAAACAGATACAACTTATGATATAGTGGAAAATGTTACTCAAGAGATAAGTACAGTTATGAAAGAACCCAAGTGTTTATACATGAAATCTGAAGCAGTTGAAAAGCTTTTGTCAAACAAAGTGCTATATTTGGATATTCAGCTCGATTGTGAAAAGTTCTATCAGTTCCTTGGTCTCAGGAACTCTGTTTCCATAGATACAATGAAAGAATATATCATGAAATGGAGTGAAAGAATAACCGAGGGTACACCAGCAAACTTTTGTACATCCCTTGAACACATGATAAATGTTTATAGTTTCCTTGGCAAAGAGATGAAAAGAAAAGAATTCCAAGATTTGCTAAGGGAAAAGCCAGTATTTTTTGTACCAAACAAAAGTTCAAATCAGGTTTACAACAGCACGGAAGTGCTTCCAGGAAAAATGCTGAACAGGAATGAAATTTGGCTCTCAGATCCAACTGGTTTATTTGAAAAACATAGAAAACTACTTGAAGAGTTTCAATCTGACATATGTTGCAAAAGGACCATTGAAAACTTTTACAAAGAAAAGAGTGAACTTATAGAGCTCTTCAATCAAGAAGGTAAATTAGACCAGCAGCCTAAAGTTGAAGAGTATCTAGAGTTGTTGTGTCTCTTGTGTAGAAGTAGTTCTCCTAAAGTAGAGAAGATATTATCAGATGTGCTGTACATCTTCTCAATACTGGGTGGTGAGCTTGTTAAACTGCAGACAAACACAACTGATGAGCAGACGACAAATGTGGCTCTAGAGACACTGAAATCTACCATAAAGACAACTCTTCAGAAAAAGAAGGTAAAGTAATACTTAGATTCTTTTCATTCAGTAACTCTACAGAAAAGATGAAATTTTATTCAGATTATTTAAATGAGTTGTTTTTTTTTTGTTTTGTTTTTTTAAATATATATACAGTAGAACTCAATTATTGCAAAAAAACAATCCATACACTGTACATAAAATTTGATCATTTAGGAATTATCTTTCAAACATACACATTTAAATTAATTTATTTGCATTAGAAAATAATGGCTAGGGGATGATTAACTTACTAAAAACTATAATACATAATACAAAGAAAGTTATCCAACTGAGACAACAGATCTTCTGTTTAGCTCATGTAATTATATGAACATATTTTATTGTAATATTTAAAGGTATTTCCCACATGCAAACATATCTGGGTGAGTTTGGATGATGTCCCATTGATAAACAATGATGATGAACTAGCTAAGATGTTCTTTAACAAGCCAGGTGTTCATTTCCTGGATATGGAAGTCCAGGCCAACAATAAATCGAGAAAAGGAAAATTCAAGAAAAGTGCACATAAAGGTTGTATTCCTCTTTATATTAAATTAATTTAATTTTCTGTCGTAACACATAATCCTAACATTGCTCAATTTGTCCAAAATATCAGTCCTATTCTGAATTTAGAACAGTTCATATGTAATTGAAGGACTGTTTCCATTCCAGTTGGAAATCCTTACATCATTGAATAAGTTTAAGATCATATCTGCATTGTTGAAATTCTTAACAGATTCTTGTGATTCTGTGAAACAAATTTTTTACCAAATTGCAGCAATAGATTTTACACACTGACTGATCAGTGCAGACCAACATCAGCTTGTACATCTGTGCTATCTCATCATGGTCTACACTGTTCAGTCAGTACCTATTTTGAAAAATTCCCTAAAAATAATAATGGTTTATCAAGCCAAGTCTGCAATCTTCATGTAATTTTGTTGTGATTAATGCTTTTAAGAGGTCACACTTTTTTCCAGATTTTTATGTTTTGAATACTATTGATAATTTATTATCACAGTAAGCTATTCAAGGGTTAAGCTGTTGTTAATAAAATATTTTATATACAGTACAAGGAAGGCATATAGACCAGGAGAGAATAGACGAGGTGTTAGAGGTGTGTTGTATAGAGAAGATTAGTGATGTGGTTGACAGTGAACCCACTCCTGATTTGATAGAACCCTGTAAGGAGATGCAGCTTTACTTCAGTCAGATAATACCATATATACAGCAGTATTTGATGTCAAGATTTTCAGACGTTTACGAGGAACTGGATCAAATGAAAACCAGAGACTTGTTAAATAATGCCAAATTTTTCCAGGTACGTTAATTTTGTTCATCAGTTGAAATAAAACATTTTCTTTTCTTTTTTTAGATACAGTAACACTTTAATCACCTACCTAACTGAAGTAATGTCAAATAAATATTTATATTTTTCATGATTTAGATTTTATTTCAGTTTTTATTCAGTATATTAATGTCACTGTTACATCTTTTTGTTTTATCTGTGCTTTTTTTTTATTTTAAAGGCTGGCAAGTTAGAAGTGCGTTACTGGTTGACAAAGATGGTTATGGAAGTATTTGTTATTCGGGAAGAAAAATGTAAAATTGCCATGTCAGAATTTTATTTTCATAAAGATCATCTCAGTAATTTACGAGAAATTCAGAAAGAGGTAGCAAGACATTTCAGCTGTGGAGATGCTGGCTGTTACACAGCTCTAAGGTTTGAATAGTTTTGAATTGTTTGCTAATTGTTACTGAGAATTGAAGTTTAACATCTTTAGTTTAGATTTTATTTATTTAAGCTCAATGTGGGGTGGGGCCTCTCTGGCCGAATGGTTAAGGCCCCAACTTTAAATCACTTGCCCCACACCCTGTGGGTTTAAATGCCATTAAGCACTTAGGATTCATTTATTGGCGGAAGCTATCCAGTTACCATACAGTAGGTTTGTGGTTCTACTCCTAATATAGTGGTATAAGTTTGTGCCGGAAATAATACACCATTGGGCACCTGAAATCTCCACTGTTAAATCTTAAAAGCAGACATTTGTAACAAAATCCAACAGAAGTTGATAGTCAAAAGTAAACTTTATGTCTTTAGAGGGTATGTGTGTTAAACAAACACATTTTTTGATATAACTTTATATAATTATATACATACATGTTTGCATCAGAAATAAATAAGAAATCGGAGAAATAACAAACTTGTGGTTCCTTTTTATATCAATTTAACTTGATTTTAAATGTTGTTGTTTTTAGATCATTTTTGTCAGAGTTGTCCAACATAGTAAATGGTGTGACTAATGAAAGTATGGAGTCTGTTCTGTTGAGACATGGGGCACGCATTGTAGAAGTTTCTGATGATCAGAAATGGTCCGTTGATCCCCCTGTCATTGAAATGCCAAATGAAAGTGAGACTGAACTTGAAGGTAATGTAATCATATATGTGGAAATATCATTCTGTTTATTGACTTATTTCACTGCTGGAATGCTGACTTTGCAGAATCATTGTAACATGTTTTTGTCATTGTCAAGCAAACCTGATTTTTTTGCCCTGGACAAAATAAAGTTTTAAAAGGTTTTATTTTATAAGTAAAAAAAACCATATATAAATCATATCTGAGATAAGGGTCGCATCTGTGGCCAAGTGGTTAAGCTCATTGACTTCAAACCACTTGCCCCTCATCACCGTGAGGGATTTTGGATTTCTTATGTTTGAGGAAGTTATCCAGCTAGATTGTTGTTCTACTCAAGCGCCCATTTTTGATTGGGAAAAAAGTCGCTCGAGGTTTTTCTTCATCAATAAAGCTGGAAAGTTGGCATATGGCCCCTGCTGTGTACTGTGTACTACATTAACTGAGACAACAATATAAAAAAAAATGGTTAGTCACACACCATAGTTTCGGGACATATTCAAAATTTGTCTTACAATGTTAAAAGATCGTAACCAAAAGGAATTCAAAAAGTTCCTTTGTGCCATTTTCAAATTTTCAGTAATTAATTTAAAATGCATTTGTCTATAAATGGTAATTAATTATACATGATAAAACCTAACATTGATTAAAAAGAAACTACAAAATTATTTTTTTACAGAAAATATGGTAGAAGATTGGGCCCACCAGTACACAGAAAATGAATTTAATGTTAACTATGATAATGATCCAAGGTTTGTGTTGAGACAATGGCCACCTATGCCATGGCCACCAATGCCAGACTACAGATACATGGGACCTGAAGGTATAGTTTCCTTGATACATTCATTATATTCATAATAATAATTCACTAAAAACTTTATATTGTTAGCCAGCTATGATCTGTGTCACTCCTTGTTTAACTTATATACCATTGTATATCTTGTATATAACTTACTTTATATAGTATAATTGATTCTTTATCACTCACTGTATATTATTCATTGTATATCAACTACTTTATGAGAATGCAAATAAATTTCTTGAATTCTGACTTATCTTAAACACTTTGTATAAGATGTTGTATGTAACATGAAGAACCGAAGTGTGTATAAATAACAATATATTTCTACATCAAAGACATAAATTTCATTATTGTGTTTTGTTGGTAAAGGCATATTTCTTGATTCAAATTTCATTACTTCAAGAAGATAGTTAAATGTTAATCAGCTATGATGGCGTTATGCTTGAATGACTTTTTGCGCAGCATTGGTGTTGTCGTTGAATGTCTGACAACATCTAAATATTTGAGCCTTTTTCCGTTGCTACTTTGAAAACAGCCTGAAGTTGCTAGGTTACATATGAAAATGTCATCGATAACAATTTATCATCTATAAGTTTTTTATACCGACATAAATATAATCATCGGCTAGCATCTCTGGTCATATCCAGTGTATATTCCATCAGGAACTTGTATAACTAACAGTATATTACTCTCTGTACACTTTTTATATATCAGTTACTGTGTATCACTAATTGTACATTGCATTCTTTATATATGATTCTGTTATCTGTTTAGGAACTCAAAAGCCAAGAGGTAAGCAAGCGCATGAGGCAGCAGAGTACAGGAGGACAGTGCGAGGACTGCCAACCAGCATCAGACTTGTTGATAATGAAGGTCAGGAGACAGTTGCTAGACAGGCTAGGACTTTACCTGTGGCACCTATCACAAGTGAGTCAGGAAGGTTTTAACCATTGCATTGTTACATGAGCTAAGTGGGCTTATTCAGTAATCATTTTGAAACATTTCAAAACTGATTTTATAACAGAACAGATTTTATAATACAATTTAACTAAAACATAACATTTTCTCATCATTAAATATATATATACAGCATATATTAGAGATATCACAGAAAAAAATGAGAAGATGTTGTCTGGCCTGGCTATGTCTGTGCAATCTAACCTGGCTGTACTCTGTTGGCAAAGGCTTACTACATAGTTCCTTCATGTTAAGAATTAATTAAGATTATTTCAAATTTTCTCAGTAAGATTTTATGTAACATATTGGAATAGCTATGTTACTGTCAATAATGGTAAAATTGACCAGTGTTTGATATAAAATTATTCTTGTAGATAAAAGAAAGCTCTCAACTTCTGGTGAAGAAGACGTGATAATAAAGAAGCGGTTGGAGGGTCCAATAATGAACAAAGAAGGTAATGATAAAGCTTGTACTGAAATGATGTATATTTTGTCTTGTTCTTTCTTAATACTAGTTTGTTTTGGGGGTATTTTTTTTTTTGGTCAAAAGTAAGTTTAACACAGACAGAGACTGTTTGGCCAACATTCATCAGAGATTTATAAGGTTCAAACAATGTTCATGTTACAGCTGAGCTAAGACCTTAAAAGATACATGTATGTATATCTCGTCTGATTAGCAAATGAAATGTGGCCAATAAAGATATATACTCAGAATTAAATTGAATATGGATTTTTTCAATGCAATTCTTAGCCTAAGTTGAGTGGAAAAGTTTTGCATTTCTCTTCAGTTTTTGGATCGTTTTGCACAATAAAAATTACTATTCTGAAAAATTAGGGAATGATATGAAAATTATGTTACAAACAATTAGTCCAGCCCTCTATCAAATGGTATCACAAGTTCGTCCCTCATGTCAGAAAACCTTAGTGACGTTCTCTTTATGTATTCAGATAATAATAAAGATCAGCTGTCAACCAAGAGTCACCAGGAAGGAGATGATATCCATTTCCAACCAAGTCAAAATATTACAGGTAATTTATTCTATTTTAAATGTGTACTTGTAGTGATTATTGAAGGTGAAATTTATCTTTGACAATTGATCTCAGGCATTCCGTTTAATTGTTAGTTTTCCCTCACAGCTAGCTGTAAAAGTTTTGTATTTCTATTCGGATTTAGGTAATGTATTTCCTTTCAGTTTTAGGTGATTTTCAGCAATAAAAATGATCATTCTGGAAAATAAGGGAATGACATGAAAATTTGTAAGTAATTAGCCCAGACCTCTATCAAATGGTATCACAAGTCTTGGAAATATATTTCTTGCATAGCAGACTGGGGTTTCCGTTAGTTTTACCCATGCCGGAAATTTCATCTGGCATGGGGGGTGCCAGATAAGTCGCGTGCTTTACAATGGCACACTTAGGATGACATCATTTTACTGTTATGAATGAAGTTGCAATTTCATACGCTGTTGTAAGAAAGTAGTTACGGTTGTCATGATATAAATTTCCATTGAAATTAAAGATAAAGAATTTTAAAATATAATGGAATATAGTAGAATATGCAAGAAAAAAAATCTGAAATATGTTTGCGGTTCGGATCGGAATATTCGTCCCTCTGTCACCTGCCTATGGGCGGATCACCTCGGGACGGATATTCCAATCCAAACTGCAACAAATGACAGATATTATTATTCCAGGCCCTTCATGTCAAAATTCCTCAGTGGAATCTTTTTAATGCCAGCTTTGATATTCTTCAGACAATAATGAAGATCAGCAGTCAACCAAGAAACACCAGGAAGGAGAAGATATCCATTTCCAACCAAGTAAAAATATTACAGGTAATTTATTCTATTTTAAATGTGTACTTGTAGTGATTATTGAGGGCAAAATTTCCCCGGGACAGTTTATCTCAGGCATTCAGTGTAATGGTCATATTTCCCTCACAGCTAATTTAGAAATCATTTGTGATTAGTTGACGGTCACTTCAGAAATTAGTAATTACTGGTTAGTTATCCAGGAAAGCCGGATAAGTGGACCCAATGCAGAGATATTGTCAAATTGTGAGCTATTTGTGCTAGATTAATTAAACTGGTTCCTACATACCTCCCTAAACTTCATTTGTGGGGGTATAATTACTCTTTCGTTCACCTGACAATTGCTTGAATCTAGAGGAGTGCAGCTTTAAGTATTGTGAGATTTTAACACCCTAAACCTTCAAATTCAAAGCAGATTTTTTTTTTGTTATATGCACTTGGAAAAGCATTAGATATACTTCAAAGCTAGTACAAATGTTGGCAGCAAATTTCAATTTATGTTGTGTAATATATTGACTCCCTATAGGTCAGCTAGTATTAGCCGCTAGCTGATAAGCCCAGCCTAAATTCACCTGGCATCACCTCTCTGTGGTATCATTAGTAAATAGATTTAGAAACGTTGAATCTCTCTACCCATGCTCGTCCAGTTACTATAATTAATAGCAGTTATTACATGTTGCTTTCAAATTTTTTTCTTCTACCTTTATAATTACTTGTATGTAAATGTTTGATATTTGTAGGTGAACCTATATGGAACCAGAACGTATCTGACTACACTGTTGATGAACTCGGTTCTGGCAAAGATATCCCTGTTGCTAAGATACTTAATTTAGACAACAGTCAGACTGATCTTGATATTGGACGATGGGGTGAACAGTTTGTTGCTCAATATCTGGATAAACAAAAAGAATTCGGAAATATCCTGGATTACAAGTGGCGAAATAAAGAGGACGAGGCTGGATTTCCTTTTGATTTTGAAGTGCAGGTCCAAGATGAACATGGCATCCGCAAGGACTATATTGAAGTGAAAAGTACTCTTTCTAATGATAAAGAAGTATTTCAAGTGTCAGTGCATCAGATCAAATTTGCCGATGAGAAAGCCGAACGTTTTCATATATATCGGGTTTACAATGCCGGTAACCCAGATAAAGTGCGATTAATACGCATCACAAACTTGAACATGCGTCTGTCCAGTAAACAAGTGAAACTTTGTATGATCATCTAACATTTTCTTACTTTTAACATTTTCTTACCTCACATTGAAGCGAATTTCATGAAAAATTTGAAAATTTAGAACTAAACAGTGGAGAACAGTTCAATTTGAACAATATTGAATATGTTGCTCATAAAATAAGCAAGTGAAGAAACTGATATGAAGGGAAATTCTAATTATGAGTAAATTTTGAAGACAATAAAAGAAAACAGGAAAATAAAACAAGGGGCGATAACTTGGTTTTTAACTTTCAAATGGTTACACATTATTTAAAGCTAACTTGGGGAGCATCAGAATTTCATTTTAAATCCAAAATTAAGCGCAAAATATTTTTTTGTTTTGTGTCACAGATTTTGTCAATATTGAAGTATTTACTGAATAATTAAAACCATTGCATTGTTGAATTTTGTATCTCATTAAAAATGTTAATAGACATGGTTGTTTTTACTTTGTATCTGTGAATTTGTTATTACTGTGAAAGGTATATATGTAATTCAATTTAAACAAAATTGAATATGTTGCTGATAAAATAAACAAGTGAAGAAACTATTATTATTTTGTTGTAGCTTTCAAACTTTACTTCTATCATTGTTGCATTACACAATGAACTATAGATCTAATAGCCATGTTTAGTTCGATTTTTTTAGGGGGGGGGGGGGCATGTTGGCCGTTTCTATTTGCTATTGCCACTGCAGTCCAAAATCATAAATCGGCCATTATTTTTTAAATGGTTGGACAAGATCTGTAAGTAGACCAAACTGAACTTGACCTTGACTGATATAACTTTGACCTTCAAAGTCAAATGTTTGCAATTTGCTATAATTGGCTATAACTTGAATGAATGGTTTGTATTTCATACGTTAACAAAACAATCCTTTAGTCTAGAACGTCAAGTATACTAAATCGACTGTAACCTTAAGTTATCAATGACCTAGCCCTTCAAGGTCAATTTATTGAATTTTGCTTAATGTTTAGCGCACCTAAGCTTCTTAGGGTGAGCTTTAAAGATTGTTGATCGTCTGTCATCCGTCCTCATTTAGTTTGTTTAAACTCTTAGTCTTAGTGGTCTTATTTTCACTTAATTGTCAATGATTCAATTGATAATGAGTCTTCGTGCTTCTGCAGGTGTAAATGCAGGAGAAAACGTGCAGTAACCCTCTAATATAAAATGTGATGAAGGATGTGTGATTACAAATGGAAACAATGACCTATCAACTCTAGACGAAAGTCACTCATCCGTACTACATTCATCTTTTACAGTGATATAGCCAATTATGGCATAAAAACCAATAGTTATTAAAACAAGAATTTGTAACAAAGTTACCAACGTCCCCGCCTCGGGGAAGTTTTATATGAAGCATAGAATTGTGCAATTTCAAAAGATTGAGGTATGGATCTCAGAACTTTCAGTCCAAAATTATGATCAATGCTAGATCTGCAAATACAACAATAAATTTATTAAAGAAATAAAATGAAACACGGAATTTAAAGATCTATCATGTTAAGCTTTGACCTCTAAGTGTGACCTTGACCTTGGTGATAGGGGTGCAGGTGTTGTGCGTGACATATCATGTTATTATTGTAACTATTTATGCCAAGTATTTTCAAAATCCCTTGAACAATGAAGAGGTTATAGATCGAACATAAAATATACCCTTTAACAGACTATGTTAATCTTTGACCTCTAAGTGTGACCGTGGAGGTAATGTTTTGCGCCTGACATATTGTCTTATTATTGTGATTATTTGTGCAAAGTATTTTTAAAATCCCTTGATCTATGAAAAAGTTATGAACTGGACACAAAATATACCCTAAAACAGACTATGCAAATCTTTGACCTCTAAGTGTGGCCTTGACCTTGGAGGTAGGGACACAGGTGTTATGCATGACATATCATCTTATCATTGTGACTATTTGTGCCAAGTTTTTTCAAAATCCCTTAATCTATGAAGAAGTTATGAACGGGACACAAAATATACCATATAATAGACTCTGTTAACCTTTGACCTCTAAGTGTGACCTAGATCTTGGAGGTAGGGAAGCAGGTGTTGTACTTGACATATCGTGTTTTTATTGTGACTATTTGTGCCTAGTTACTTCAAAATCCCGAAGAAGTTCTAGATCGGACACAAAATATACCCTAAAGCAGACTGTTGGAGGTAGGGACCAATGTTTTGCGCCTGGCATATTGTCTTATTATTGTGATTATTTGTGCAAAGTATTTTTAAAATCCCTTGATCTATGAAAAAGTTATGAACTGGACACAAAATATACCCTAAAACAGACAGATGTTAATTTTTTACCTCTAAGTGTGACCTTGAACTTGGAGGTAGGGATGCAGGTGTTGCGCATGACACATCGTCTTGTTATAGTGACTATTTGTGGCAAGTTTTTACCAAAATCGTTGGATCTATGAAAAAGTTATGGACTGGACACAAAATATACCCTGTAACATACTATGTTAATCTTTGACCTCGAAGTGTGACCTTGACCTTGGAGGTACATGTAGGTGACTGGTTGTGGCGCATGACACATCGTCTCATTATTGTGAACAATTGTGGCAAGTATTTACCAAATCCCTTCAAAGGTAAGAAAGTTATGGACCGGACACGACATACCTTCAAATAGACAATGTTGACCTTGAATGAGCAAGTGCGACCTTGAACCTGGCGGTAGGGGTTTGGTTGTTGCGTATGACGCATTGTTTTATTATAACAAACATTTGTGCCAAGTTATTTCAGATTCTTTTGATAAATGACAAAGTTATGGACCGGACACGAAAGTGTGACGGACGGACAGACGGACGTAGCCTATTTCTCTATCCCTCTTCGAAAAGGCGGGGGACAATAATCTGAAATTCAAAGTCAGATATTTGAGAGGGAGTGAAGGAAGGTGGCTGAAATTACAATATGATTAGACAACGTCTTCATGGAAAATTAGCGGAAGTTGAGTTAGCAAACATTTTAATTACCAATCCGTTTTTAATTTGCAAAAAAATATAATAAAAAATAAGCATGTTGCAGCAGTTTTATATATTTATTATATAAATATCATATTAAAGATAAAAACGTATAAAATCGCATCAAAAATCATGAAACAAACATGCAAATGAAAAATAATGGCTAAAATATACATTTTTCTAACATTGATGTACTAAGAACCTAATTAAAGTAGCTCAACATTAAAGTCTTTGTCTTACCTTGCTCAACGTCCAGAATATTTGAGTATAATGTCACTTTTAAGCTTTCTATAAATCTAAAACTCTAGCTGAACAGACAATTCCTTCAATATATAAGTATATTGTACACAGAAAACGCCAAGGAAATAGTGATAGCCCAAGATCTTTTGAGCATATCATATAGGATCTACTTCATGAACATTTCAAAATATCCACCGAACATTTCAAAATATCCACCGTGATTTCATTAACATTAAAGGCCCATTATGCCTCAGAAAAGCTTTTATACTTCATTTTTTTCAAAAGCTTTTAAACTTTTATAATATCCAAAACGTTACTCATTGGCCATTAACTGGGCCATCTTTTTCATCTGTTGCTTTTTGGAAATAAGTACAGTTATAGTGAATTTGTACAGTGTATTATGTACAAAATAATATTTTGTTTACATTTTGCTAATTTTATGACAAACTGTTGTAACATTTATCGCTACTTTCTTCAAGTAACAAGCATCTAACATTCTTTAAACCATTTTTTGAACATAATAAAAACATTGTTTGCTTTTTCGAAAGAAGTGAAAATAATTTGTTTTCTGAGACATAATGTGCCTTTAAGTATTACGTTACCGGATAGTCGTCAAGATGAAAATGTGTTTTTATATCAACAGGAAATAACATTGTTAGTCACTACAAATTTGACGTAAATTTACCGGTTTATTATATACTTACATAAATGAAATATTGAGAAATATTGATGAAATAACATATGTTTTTTCATTTTTCCGTATTTTCACTGCAGTGAAACATATTTTCCGTAATTTCACTGGTGTCTTGCGGGACTACTTTCTTTTAAGTTCAGCCAATATTCAAAATGTAAGGGAAAGTCTTTTAAACTGTGATGTCAAAAAAGAGAAAAATTTATATATTCAAGTTTTTCCTATAAATACAGGATTTATTTTCATCTTGTGCTATGAAAATTATCAAATTTCATTCATGGCTACCGCCACTCCTGAAATATTTATTTTCATACCACTCATGAAAATAAGTCCTGTATTTATAGAACAAACTTGAATATCCTCTCTATCATTATCATTCATATTTAAACAAAGTAATAGTGAATAAAACAAATACTAGTTGATAAAACATTAAGACATGTACATTCTGTAACAACATTTATTTTATACATTAACGGAACGCATGTACATAGTCTTCCGGATGACATATAAAAAAAAAGTTGATAAAAATTCCTTTAAAAATTTAACCCGATTTCTTTTGTGTAAAAAAATATATAAAATCTCAACTGGTCATGAATATTTTAATTTTATGATATTTATTCAAAATGAAGTGTTAAAAAAACCCAGCCCATACCTTGATTTGTGGAGTAAACACGAAATTTCATTCTAAGAAAAATGTTACACAATAGTAATACAAAATAAAAACAAAACAAATCAAAATGGCTAAAATAAGCGTAGCAAGTGTGATAAATATTATATGAAAAATAATGATGCGATAGAAAATGAATATATACACATAAACACGTGGACGGCAAAGTATTTCATACTTTCATTAAAAAAACTTTTTAACCGGACTTGCAACGAAAACAGGTGTGGGAATGCGTGTAGCCACGAAAACAATTCGAAGTAAAATATTCATATAGTTGTTTTTTTCAAGAGCGTACATATGTCCACTATTGGCTGTATAAAATATAGTCTGTAAAATGTTGTTTCAGGAAAATATAAGACAGTAATTCAGAATTCTTTAACAGAATGTGCTATATCTAAATTTCCCGATTCAGTATAGGACTTGCATTGGAAATAAAGTGTTGAATTTTAAGTGAAAAATACGTAGTTACTGTTTCTGTGCAAATCTTTTTACAGTCTTATAGTATAAAATGTATGTTCATTCCCTGTAAGATTAGTTTTGGTGCATTTGATAATAAACTAAAGAAAATGTCTTGTTTCGGAATTTAGACGTAAATCTGAGATTAATGTAGTTAACATTTGCCATACTTTATACAAAATGATGAAGCACAGCTTGTTCAGCATTATGACAATGTACACATTTTAAAAAATCATCATTATTCGCACGGTTTTAAAGATACACCCGTATACATAATGTACAGCACTTCAGAACTACTAAGCATTCTGAGGCTTAAAGTTATAAAATAAAATTTGTCGTCATTTTGTATTAGAAAATGGAAAGTCAAACAGTGGCACAAGAAACAAATATAAAAGGATTAGAAATCGTGGAAACATTTTTATGCAAACCGCACAAAATATAGAAAAAACTGACCAAAGCCCCAATATACCCTGACTCGCTAGATAAAACTGGCAATTTATGTAAGTAAAGCTTTGACATTGCTGCAAGTTGATAACAACTAAAGTGTCATGAAATATATGCGGACCCTGAATACTCTTATCGCTCACGTTGTCTAGAAGAAATAAGTCAAAGCCTTAGGGGCGTTGAATACAATAAAATTAAGTTATGCTTGCAGAGTTCTTAATGTTATGCTTGTATAGTCCCTAATGTTATGCTTGTATAGTCCTTATATGCCAAACATTCGAGATTTACGTTAGTTATTTACATCCTTTCCGTCAGTTCGGAAAATTATTGATAATAGCAGAGATGTTCCGATTGATGTTTATACGTGACATTTGACGTGACATTTGACGTAAGATGAACGCCGGGCAATGAGATGTGTGAAAAAATCACTGTGATAATATGATCCAGGAGCTATGTGAGGCCTAATTGACCAAGTCAAACACATCGTCTGCTACACTTTGGTCGCTTGTGATGAGCGTTCGTAAATCATGCAGCAAAACGCCAATAATATCAAAATTCAATCTGGTAATTTTTTGGTCCCCATTTCTTCAGGATTTCATTATTTCTATGTCGACATCTCTGTGAACTCTTGTTGTATGTCCATTGGTCATTGGCATCTGAAAAAAATAAATTTGTATGAACATGGTCGCAAAATAGGACCATTAAAGGTTATAAAGATATACCTATAATGCAATAGTCATAACAATTTATAAACGATCAATTAAATTATGTTGTTTCCACAATCATATGACCGATTCTCTAATGAGTACGTCTAAAGGGGCCTGCTAACGAACTGCTGGTCATGTTATAGCTTTACTTTATAAGAATTGGACTGGAAATGAGTTCCAGTATCGTTTGGAAGGGACATTTTTCGAAATAAAAGAAAAACTCGTATATAAAAGAGGTGGTAAAATAGCAACATTATAAAGTTGATGAAATGTAGCTTAAAATGATATACATGTACTATGATGATTTTTTATTTCGCCAAATGTCTCATCTCATTGAAGATAATTTCATTGTTATTTTTTGAGATTTCACCAGTTACTGTCTTTCTTACAAAAGTCTTCGAAACCATGCAATGCAGATAGTATTTCATGGTGCAGTGTGTAAAAGACATAAATTGACAGTGGTTTGTAAATCAAGCGTTTCCCTGGAGTAACAGGGGCTTGAACTTTAGGAAACAAGCTTCTCTGTGAGAGAGACAATTTACAAAAGCATAAGCTAAAACTCGAGTTGATACGATTGACATGACGGTAAATAAAGGCAAATATCATACCAGTTCTGCTTCCAAATGTTCTTTCGGCTCGTGTTTCCCTGGACACATTTTATTTTCGTTCCTCACTATGAGTGTTATTTGAATAAGTGCAAATATTGCAAACAATACCACTACTGTTATTACTAGAAATTTGACATAATTTAATCCGGCAGCTTCCTCTTTTTGCTTGGCCGAATTATCTGTGGAGTTACAGCCTCCATTGTCCCCACAGGGATTCATGTTCTCGCACAATAAACTGTTGTGTACACACCTCCCTGTTGGACAAGAAAACATATCATCTGCTATCTCCCCCTCCGTGCATCCACCGTCTATAAATAAAAAATGCAAACAATGCAACAATTAGAGAACATATTTACTTATTCTTTATATTTAAATTAAAAAAAAAACTGAATTATTTGCACATAGTTTACAGTATCTTAACACTGAGTTTTGCGATGGACTTAAATTGTCAGTTATTATGAAGTTCCATTAAGGGAAATAATCGTGAGAATACATGCATTTCATCTTTTCAAAATTTTTAAATATAGGTATTTAAGAAACATAGAACTTTCTATATAAAGCGTCTCCTAAAATCTGTAACAGCAAGCCTTTTCATTGACATGAAAGCTCGAGGAATTTGACTATGAAGTATCAAGCTATACCCATTGTTTTCTCAAGCAAAAAAAAGTGCGTACATTATCATATTTATAAAATGAAATATATGCATGTAGAGTCGAATGACAGTATTGGAAATAATAAATGTACAACGTATTGACAATTAAGATATTAAACTAGTAGCTTATTTATAACAAAAAAGTTAGATGGGGTACTTACATCTTGATGTAAATGATGTGAATTTAAGGGTAAATCTCATATTCATGGCGGATTGCTTTTGTCGTGATGAATATTTTAATATTAATGAATTATGGAAGGTTGTGTAGATGGAATTCTCATTCAAATATCCGGTTCTTTTGCAAATTGACTTGTAAAGACCTGAAATATAATAATAATAATAATAAGTAAAAACAACGCACAGTTTAAACAATGACGATTATTTATAATTTTGCCGGAAATGGCCGAAAAGATGCGATTGTTCTAGCAATACATGATTATCATACATATACGGTAAGAGTGCGGAAGGAAGGACTTCGCAAAGCATGACATAAATGTACTTATTTATTGCAATATTTATGTACATGTATTTATATTTTGGGGGGAAAAAAACGGATTCATTCAAAGCACTGAACTATATTATAGTAAAAAAAATTACGAGTTGAAAAATCATGAAATAAGTCCTTATTCAAAGCCTTTTTACAGGATTAAACATTAAAATTGCGGGTAACTTATCGGCCCTTTCCGTCAAACTTCGGATCATGAATAATAGCCAAGATGATATAAGATAACTTTAAGCAAGACCTCAGGAAAGTCATTTCAAATTCTTAAAGCATAATCACAACTGGAACAAAAGACCATACTATTCTGACTTGTAATAAATGAAAGTTTTTGTTTCGTTCCTAGTTTGATCTAAACATACAAAAAAGGATATTGGAATTCATATATAAAAATTTCGGTGATTCTACATTTAAATATAACTCCGCCTCCTATAAAACATCTTCCCCCTACCAACTACATGTACTTTCTTTCTTACTTATAATCTTAAACATACATGTATATACGTATATTGAAGTCGGAAACTTGTCAAGTGGTAACTTTAAAATGTGACATAGTTTGAATTTACACTGAAGTGCAAAAATGTTTGATAAATTCATCAAGTGATCAATATATTATGCATTTGTCAATGAAATATTGACATGCGGTGTTACAAGGCTATATTACCTTGGGGAATGTTGCCAAGTTGGTATGTTTGTTGGACGGCCCCTGGTTCTTCTATAGTAAGATTTTCCATACAAGAATCGTCGGAGATGTTGAAAGAAGTGAAAAACAGTGACAGCATGGTGTCGGAGGCTCCTTTACCGACGATTTCTACCTGACAGAACCGGTCCCTCATCCGTGACGCGTCAAAGTTCAGCGTCCCTCCATAGCTCTCTAATCTCCTACCACACTGTTGCGACATACTCCCTACATTAAAACAGAAAATTAATGTAAGTTTGGAAAGGTGTTTCAAATTATGCTATAAACAATGAATGATTTTTCCTCTTAAATAAGGGCAAATATGTTTGAATATCATTGTTGAGGTCTAATGGACCTTTAAACAGACTTGTCAACGTTTCAATCTGATCAAAACCATTAATCATTTTTAGATTATTTTTTCAAAGTTAAATACTAACTGGTTGAAAATGGTCCAATGATTTAGTTGCCGCCAATAGGCTTAGGGAGTATCCAGTCTATATTTGGGTTACATATTTCTGTAGTTGGTGAATTCCAATATGCAATACATTCTTTATAATTATTATATACAATGAGGCACTATCTTTGTATCAGAAATATGTAACTGTATACATGTATAACAAACTGTATAATCGTATGTATATATGTGTGTGCGTTTGATAATTTAAGAACGCACTTGCATCTTCTTGCACATATATTTATCGGGTCCACTCAGAAATGTATTTATCGAGGCCATTCACACATATATTTATCGGGGTCATTCACATATAAATTTATCAGACCATTCACACATATATTTATCGGGGCCATTCACACATAAATTTATCGGGGCCATTCACGCACATAATTATATCAATCGGGGCCATTCCCACATAAATTTATCGGGTCCATTCACTCATAAATTTATCGGGGCATTCACACACATATATCAATCGGGGCCATTCACACATAAATTTATCAGGGTCATTCACATATAAATTTATCAGACTATTCACACATAAATTTATCGGATCCATTCTCACATAAATTTATCGGGCATTCACACACATACATTTATCGGGTCCATTCACACATAAATTTATCGGGGCATTCACACACATATATCAATCGGGGCCATTCACACATAAATTTATCGGGGTCATTCACATATATATTTATCGGGGACATTCACACATACATTTATCGGGTCCATTCACGCATACATTTATCGGGTCCATTCACACATAAATTTATCGGACCATGTTCGATTATGAAATATCCAAGAATGGTCATCTGATTGAAAAAGCTAAGTTTTTCTCCCATTGCTTATCCATCTTTAAATAGCCTTGCGTATTTTGTTACTACACTGCTTAACTAATTAACGTTACAAACGGTTTACTTGTATAATTCTATATGTGTTGTTCTTCATATTTATAAAGTAATTACATTATGTAGATAAGTTGATAAGTTCGTATTACGGATATTTTATATGTCACACCGGCATCTTATGGTGTGTTTCAGGTGAGATGTTAATAAAAAGGAACATAATTATTTGGCTCGTATATACATGTATTTGTTTTGATATTTTAATATTAGTCACGTGTTAAACTCTTTGTATTTAACCGCGTAACTTATACTGATGGATGCCTTTTTCATTATATTGTCATAATTCAGTATCAGTACAGTACTTGCAAAATCGCTGCAGTACCAGTACCAGTAATGCAGCTCTGATTGCCATAAAAATGAATAAACTTTTTTTAAAGGGTTTCTTGAAACTCAAATGATATCCAGTTTTAATCTTTTTATGCTGTAGCTTTAAAATGATTTTATTTTTTAGAAATTGCCTTATACATGATCTCAACGAAATGCAGTTTAGAAAAACCAAAACACCCTCTCTCCCTACAAGGAATAGATTGGACACATTTAAGCTAAATGATTCGGTTTGTTTTTGCCTGTTTTTATTTTTCTTCAAAGTTTTGTATTTATTTGAACAATTTGTTTACTTTAATACATTATACGAGCTCTGATGAAACATTTGAGCCGCATCACGACAAAACCAACATAGTGTGTTTTCGACCAGCATGGATCCAGACCAGCCTGCGCATCCGCGCAGTCTGATCAGGATCCATGCTGTTCGCTTACTAACCCTATTACAAGTAGAGAAACTGATAGCAAACAGCATGGATCCTGATCAGACTGCGCTATCTCTTCAACAGGACAAGGTTCTGTTTGGACGTGAAATTGTTGCTTTCTTTCGCTGATGTGAAATTTGATACGTTTAAAAAATAAAAATTTGCATAAAATCTCGTATCAAGAAAGAATGTTATGAATAAAAGGCCAAACTTCAAGATTATTCATTACATTAGGTACTTTATACATACGTTTTGTTCAATATTTGTTTGCTTTTTCAAGCGTTACTTTACAGAAGATACAGCCCAAGTTTCGTTGGCCCCTAGCTAAGTTCACGAATGTGGAGAAGGCGCATTTTCGCATTTTTTGGCCGCGAACAATATGTCTAATGTGTGATTCGTTCAAAGTCGCCGTTTCAAATGATTAATGTGGAGAAGTTTGCGTTTCCTTGTGGAGATCAGTTTTGTGTTGGTTCAGAATTTGGGAGACGCGCATAGGTATATGAAATACTGTTCAACTTCAACAAAAAAAACAGATATTACCATCCCGAACACACCTGAATATGCTTCATGATTGAAAGGTTCTGTGAAGTTTAATTGACAGAGATGACACTGATATAGAGACAGGCATAGTTTATTTTACCGTACTCCTATAAAACGAAAACTTGGCCTTCATTGTACATTTTTCAAGTATGTGTCAACGATTCAATTACTGATGAATTTAAGATATAGGTTGGTTAATGGCCATGGAATGATGGGGGATTTTTTTACAGCTTTAAATGTGTTTCAATCTGTTTTAAGTCCTTACAGTATCTGTATTAATATTTGACAATGAGGAATCATTGACGGGGAGCGATGGCCTAGTGGTTAAGGTGCTGTCTCTCAACCCAGGGATCATGGGTTCGAACCCTACTCGGGTCACGACCATGTTTATTCATGCCAGTACTGATTGGTACCAGGAAGCCGACTCGAAAATGATCAATATAAGTTGCAAGAACTTGTTCCGCAATTGAGCTTAAAATAAATATGTTTGAACTAAGAATCATAGTGTTCAAAAACTTTAAAAAGGTTCGCATGCAATTGACAAAAAGGGAGGTAATACGTTATGCCCTATATCAATATAAAATTAGTAAAGTGAAACTTTTGACCGGAGCAGAAGAAAGTTAAGGTCGCGAGAGATACAAAAATGATAAAATGACATTTAATGAAATCTCAAATTTGCTCGTTTTACTATGTAAACATTCATTTCTCAATACTATCTCAGTATTTTTCAATAGAGGATCACCGAACAAAGGACCTTTATCATTGCGTCACGAACGCTCTTATAACAGCGTTTGAAAAATTTTGTGTCTCATAACACTTAAGCTAAAAATCAATATAACTGACAATACAGGTTGAGTCGCTATTTTGTACTGTTATTTAAAAGTTAAACGTCAACAGTCCGGATTTTTCACAATCTTGGCGTTGTGTACGTGTTCAAGTAGATTTGAAAAAAAAATGTTAGGGAAAAAAACAACATGCTAATTCAGAACAGCGGGATCTTTAGAGTTGCAAATCAATGTGAGACTTAAGTTTCATATTTCCTTGCATTTCTAAAGTGGGAGGGGGAGGGAAACAAATAACAAAAATAGGTGACAGAACATTTTGTTGAAAAAATATTTCATGCTGGCTCTCTTTAAAATTTCACCTTTGTGCAAACGGTTTTCATCATATGTCTTAAAATTCAATTTGAAACAATTTATTTTTCAATTCAAAATATAATTTCTTTATTGATATGCTTGAATACTGCTTCTTGTTTGCTTAACTATCAATTAAATTAATACTTCTTGTACCAAAACTTCTTGCAATTTTTTGAGATTGCATTCAAGCCACATTATACTTCAGAAATTATTTTATTTTTATTTCTCAAAAGCTTTATATTTTTGGCGCAGTTTCTAGTTTCATAAAAGTTATTCATCAACCAATTATCTGAACATTCTTTTTTCTTCTGCTCCTTTTTAGCCATTAGTACAGTTTTAGTGATTTAGTATTTTGTACTGGAAGTCAAAATATATTTTGTCTACATTTTGCAACCTTTGTGACAAATAGTTACTTTCTCGAGGTAACAAACACATAACATGCAATAAAACCAATATTTAAACGTTATAATACTCATGTTTGCCCTTTCCAAAGAAGTACATATTTTCCGTTTCTGAGACAAAAAAATGTGCCTTTTATCAGACATATTTAATTTTGTAACATTCGAGTATTGTGTATATGTGCCAGTAACATTCGGCGTTTTTGTATTAGTATTGCATTTGTATACTGTTGACTGATTTAGACTCAGAACATATTTATCTTGATGTTACTTTTAGTGTGTCTTACAGGCTGAAAACGAGCATCGTAGAGTTTTAGTATACAGAGATATCGAGACGCTAATTATCGGTTTAATTATATTTAGAATTGAGCCGCGTCATGACAAAACCAACATAATGGGTTTGCGACCAGCATGGATCCAGAACAGCCTGCGCATCCGCGCAGTCTGACCACTGGATCCATGCTGTTCGCTTTCAAACACTATAACAAGTAGAGAAACTGATAGCGAACAGGGTGGATCCTGATCAGACTGCGCGGATGCGCAGGCTGGTCTGGATCCATGCTGGTCGCAAACCCATTATGTTGGTTTTGTCATGACACGGCTCAAATCTAGATTTATTAAAGGGTCAGCGATTGCGCAAATAACTATTCATTTTCATTGAGAGAATGTACGTGATGAGTATAAAATTTATGAAATTAAGACATGCTATTAAAGCTGCATGTACGAACATGTGCGTGTGTATTGCTATATACATGCCACGTTTCCAGAAAACCTTAATGTATGGAAGAGCCATCAGATCATTTAAGCTTAATGTATGTCAAGTGATATATTTTATAATGCATGGTAACACCATATAGTGACTGTCACTAAAGTCTTCATAATTTACTATGATCGTTCATGATCGTACTATCCAACTGCGTAATGATGGTCATTAACTTTATTTGGTCTCATTTTACTAAATATGTCAATTATTTGGCCTTTTTTCAAACCTTTCAAAACAGGTCAAAAACCGAACATGTGTTTTAATCAGGCCTTGTATAGACCTACTAATCGGCCTTCGGGTAACACTAATTATTGCTTATGTTCGCGTAACTGATACCTATTTGGAAAAAAAAGTAAACTGACTTTAAACTAGCTTTTTTTTACTTGTCTTTTACATAATGACAACGGGAATAGTTGGACCGAAAATAATAGTTATAGAGCACCTTTAAGATAATATACATTACTGCATATATTTGACAAATTAACGAAACGTTTAAAAAAGAGTCTATTGTCTACTTGTAGATATATTTCACCGAAAATGAAAGAACAAAAGTTGTGTATATTGTATATTTGGTTTCTATTGGGATTCCATGTACTTATATTTGTGTTTTAAATGGAAATAATAGCGAATGATTAATTTCCCTAGGCTTGTTTGTGTGATGTACAATTATTTTCCTGCAACATGTAGAGTTTAAAGGTTACACGAACTAACATGAAAGAAATTAGTAACCGTCGAATTAAATATCACCTTTATCTACATTATTTCATGAAGTCACTCGGTACAACATATATTAGATCTACTAATCATGTATGTTAAATCACCAGTATTTCATATATACTTACATGACTGAACTTCTCCCGCGGTTTCCTTTGTACTAAACAATATAAACAGTGAAAAACAGAAAAATATAAATTCCCTATCCACCATTTTCAATAAATCCATTTTCCTTTCACATTGTAAACATAAACACGGCAAAGAATAAAATCTCTTTCACATAAAAGTGTGTTTAACACGACGTCCATACTACATCATAAACCTTAAAACTAATACAGAGTGAAATGTTAAGTATCCGCGGTTAACAGAGAAATTTTTTCACTCTTGGTATATACGAGTAATATACGTATATACGACACTATACCACACTGGTATATAACCAGTTACAATCTACTCTTCATGGAACAAAATCTAAACAAATATAAATTTCGAAACATGAAACACATAAAATATATTGAAAGACTGGTTCTGTATTAAAAGATATACTATTATTCTATTGTTTAATATCTATGCTAATCAAGCGATACCTTTTATGATTAGATTTATTGGATAAGAAATAAAGTTGAACTTAAGACTATTTGTTGATCAAAATCTAAATGGATGACATTAGATTAAACTGGAATGACATGTTGGTTTAAAGTATTAACGCATGCGTAATTATGCTTGGAACCATGGAAATCTTCCAGGGACTTATGCGTTGTAGGAAATATTTAAATAAAATCAAAATAAATTCTGTAGTGCACCATATGCAATGGAAACAGTAAATCCAATTCATTTTGAAATAGTATTGGCATCAAAACGTGGTCTCAATTGAAAAAAATACAAGAGATAGTCTGCAACCTTATAACATGAAATAAAGAAAATAAACCGGCCATATTAACCCTTATTTTATAACCTGCTGAACTGGTCTTTCCCAGTTGGTCAAGCAAAAGTGTAGACCCTGGTCAGACTTCACCAATGTGCAGGCATGCCTGACACTATACTGGTGGCAAAGATAAGTCACTTCCGGTTCCAGTAGAATGGTTTGTTTGGTCGTTTTTTTTTGTTTTTTTTAATTATTTATTGGCCCTTTTTTGTTGTTGTTGTTTTTTCTTTTTGTTATTTTTTCTTTTACATGTTGCGTACGTTTACCTCAATTTTAGGGAAGGTTGAGAGTATAATTTTAGAGTTAGTGTATTTTGATGGTTCACCTAACATCGACAATTATGATCACTCCTTGATCTACAGTCAAGATGGTGAAGATATCAACAATATGTATACAAAATGTACTTGAATCAAATTTCAAATATTTACGACTACAATAGACAACAAAGATCCTACACATTTCCTGTTTTGAAAACATTTAAACCTATTTACAGTTTACAAATATGCATCTAATTATAATTACAAGATATCAAGTCCGATCTATATATAATACCTAGAAATTAAAGAATATCGTGTCTGACCAAATCGCATGAAATATAACTTGTGCTCACAAAATACGTTTTAATGGTGCAATCTATGTGCCCGATGTCAATTTACAAAACAGACCAGATAAAGTTGAACATCATTAAAGGCCTTTAGGGCTCAAGAAGTACATTAACAAATGGTAGAATTAATTCTCTGATGTTTATCTGTCCATTATTGTTTTTAAAAGATATGTAAATTACAATCTAACGAACGCATGAGTAAAAACCTCTCGTCAAATCCATTTGTTGTTACTGTAAAAAAAAAATATTTTTAAGAAATTATTATTGGAGATATGCCTTTTCTCCAAAAGTCTAGAATTCTAACACTAGACTACAATGTATTTGATTGCAGTTAAATATCACCTCACCCCACCCCATAACAACTCCTTCTTCTGAATTGTCTTTTTTAAAACTATGATGCCATAAAAAGGACGTAGGGAATCTTTTATTTACTCCGTGCGCACGCGATAGCTAATACTTGCGCACGCGATACTATTACGTAGCCAAGTTAAAGCTATTGCGTGCGCACATAAAATGATGAAATCAAATACGTAAGCACTTGAAAGTTGTTGCGTGCGCAAAGCATTAGGTATAACATGGATTTCACTACGACCTCCTTAATATGTCATCTTTTTTGTTGTCATAAATTTTAGGAAATTTAACATTTGTTACCGTAGGTTTTTTATATATAGTTTTTCACAAACGATAACTCTTATTTTAAACTTATAAAATGGTTGACGTACTGCTTAATTATCTACATATGAACGATTGAGATTCTTAAAAAGTTGCTCCTATTGCAATTCTTAATAGATCTATGTGCTTCTTAAATACATGGTTTTGTGCAGAAAGAAATGGTATCAGTTTCCTTTGCTCAAAAACAAAAGAAATTAGCTACTGCATGCATTTGCGAGGGTAATGACATGTCTTTTTTCTGGTCACCTCTTAAGACTTTAATTGAAATTTGATGTTTTCAAAGATAACTGGGAGCTGTGAATATATTGATCACTACTATAGTTCATACACCAAAAATTGCATAATCAGTAATCAAAGGCGGTTTATACTATATAAAACCAATGTCTCAAATATATCGGCAAGTTCGTTCTGTAGTGAGATAAATAGAAAAATAAAGATTGAAGAGTAACCAGTAAACAGGGTGAAAACATGTTTATTTTCTGTGCATATGTGCGCGTATGCGCGTGCGTTCGAACGAATGTGTGTGTTCTAGATTCCTTACAGAAAACAAGCCAAGCCTGTAACTTTTTGTATGTTAAACCGGCACTTTAACAACGTAACCCGATGTTACTCTAGTTAAAGAGTTTAATGCCAGATAAAATTGCATATATCTTATTTTTCCGATCAAGATCACTTATCAATGAATAACTTCTCAACAAAGGGTTTAAACGATGTGTCAGAGGCGACCACCCTTGTACATTTAAAGACACTATCTCAATTTATCTGCAGTGACGCAAATAAATACTGGTCACCTTTGTTTAAGATCATCTAATACACAAACATTTTTTTATTTATCTTTTGACATTTATGTGACAAAATCCATGCATCAAATCTGTAATTGATTTTTTGACATCAGGTTTTGAATGTGCACCTTCTATCAATACTAAATCTCAAATATGATAGCCCGCGCTATTGTCTGTATATCATAATTTAGAGATATCCATTAACTATTGTATTAAAATGATGAAATAACATACCCACATTTTTGAAATATATACAGATTTAAACCGTGGCCTGCTGGTGGCCATGCAACCAGTCCAGACCAACATCAGTCATCTGGTTTTGTGCACAGGTGGCAGTATCAGTGTTTGGACACCCCACCCCTGTCTGGCCCTGGACCCCTACTACAACCCTGAAAATAAAAATAATTGACAAGGTACCAAATACAAAACCACCGATGAAATTATATATAAAAAAAATTTTCCACTATCAAAATTATAGTTATAGAAAGGTGAAAAGCCTACTATATGTTCATTTGCCAAACAATGTGGAACACGGGTACCTTATAGTAAGCCTTAGAGTGTTGAATTTTTTTTCAGGGTTGTAGAAGGGGTCCAGGGGCAAATGGGGGTGGGTGTCCAAACACCGATTCTGCCACCTGTGGTTTTGTGCAGTTCGAGAGATGGCCAAAAAAGAGTCCATTTAAGATTTTTTGCATGATGAAATATTCAATTGAGCAAGCTACGGAATGGACACTGCCCTGGCATTATATACAAGACAGTGTCGAAAAATTAAATAGATATGGTATTTTTACCGATGGCGATGGTAAACAAGACATTTTAAAAGCCGCTAGCATTCAAATGGATGTCACTTTAATGCTACAAAGGGAAAGCTATTTAGTTCACCAACATCTATCAAAATTTCCTGCGTTTTTTTTTCTATTCCATCATTTAAACTGAAAATCTTGGGTTAACAAACGGTTACAAAAAACTATAATAATTATATAATTTCCTTCTTTTAGGGCTTCAAATCGTATTTCAGCCTATAACTATTACCAATACTCTTTTAGCTACAAACAACCGCAGTTACAAGGGTATTGGTATTACTACCGTAAGAAATCGCAGTTACCAAACTATCTGCAAAAGACGTCAAATATATAGATACAAATGTATATGACACTGAATCGAAAACAAAACGTTTGCTCGAAATGTCAACTTCTCCTCGGAATTAAAATATTCCATCCATTTAAAGTCCGTTACTTTGAACAGAGACATAGAGAACATCTACATCTCTGCTTTGACTATAAAAAAAACGCAAGTTTCTCTGCTTCAATTTCAAGTTAAATATACGGAGGAGCTGCTTTAATTACAAAACAATTCATTTTAAATTGTGATCCATTATAATCATAATGATTGAGCAGACGTATTGTATCATATGTCGAAATATTTTTGTGTTAAAGGGACTTCACTAAAGGTTTTTTTTTTGTATTTTATACGATGGACGAGATGAATATTCCATTTGATGAAGGGCTAGAGTCTTGACCAATAACTTGTGAGGTAATTTCAGATCATTCGCTCACTCTGTTTTTCCAGAATTTTTCTAATTGTGAAAAAATGACACGAAATTGAAATTGCAATGATTTTCACTCAAATCGGGCTAAGAATGGCAAAAATACAATGTTAAGTTTATTTCTGAAGTATATTTCTTAATTATATTGTGCATATATTTCTGTCTTTTAATGTCCCAGTTCATCGATGTTTATGTTTTAAGGTGGAGTTCCTTTAAAGGTTATCAACGAAAATAAAGATTTCATGTAAATTTGCATAATCTTATGCCATTTGAATAAAAAAAACGGTTGGGAAACAAATAGAACTTTGTGTTGGCCTAGTATAAAATGACTCAATAATTAAGAATAATTTATAGACAATTAGTGTGTAATTACAAAACACATGACTTCATATACAATAACACATGTATCTAGAAGGGTCATTAGTGTCTTTTCATCTCTAATTTACAAATACATATAGTACTTTAATGGTAATAAGCAGTTTCATTTTTATGATACAATGTAAATTCAATGTAACTCAGTTTAAGTGATAATTGCAAGTTATTTCAGTCTCATTTTATCTAGACAAATTCACACTGCAGACAGTAATTACTCAATATATAAATTCCAAAACTGCTTATATTCTGTTCCTACATTGCAATGGGTACCACATGTGCCATATTTCACTGAAGAAGTGTAGAGTGTTTTTCTACACTTAAAGCATTCTGAATTTATGATTTCAAATTTTCAATTTTTGGGAAAAAAAAAGACAGACAGAAATCAATAAAACATCTTATATCACAACAATTGTATTGTAGGCAACATATAATCTGTAATTCACAACAAAAACTGTGTTATACATGTATAAAGATGGAATTTTAACCGAAAAAAAAATATCAATTAATACTGATTCAGATATTGTCTCACCTTGATTTTTAATTCCATCATTTATTTCAAATTCTAACCAAAAAAATATATAGGAACACATCTTTTCAACAATTTCATAAGAATTTGAACTTTTCAATTAGACACTTTTGAAAATTTTGCAATAACATTGACAGATTTTAAAAGTGTTTTTAAATTATTTCAATATTTCTCAAATTTCAACCACCAGTAAATGTTCAATCAACAATACAACTGATTTCTATAAAATAAAATTTGAAAAAATCTGCTTAACAATCCTTTAACACACTACAGTAAAACCTGTGAATAAGGGCCATCTAAAGGCGAGACCAAGCATGGCCTTTCTAGACAAGTGGTCTGTATTTGGAGGTTATTCTGTTCTATTGATTCCATTCAGTGTTGTCAAATTGTGGCCTTTATTAACAGAGTGGTCTTTATTTACAGGTAGCCTTTTCCACAGGTTTGACTGTAAAGTGTTAATTCTGCTTAAAATACATTAAACAATTTAAATTATACAATATATACATCACAGGTCATTATTCCTGTTAAAATATCATAGTAAATGCAATATCTTATAGATAGTAAGAAGCTATGCCTTCAGAAGCTATGTTTATAAAAAATTTGTATATATATATATATTATATATATAATATTATTATATATATAATATATATATATATATATATATAAGAAGCAGACTGCATATTGTTTATTCCTTACCAAAATATCAAGATTTTTATTTACCTAAGGTAGCCCTAAAAATTCAAACTAACAAAATGTTTAAGTGTTAAACACAATGGAACAGCCATTAAAAGCACTTTGAAGTAAAAAATATTCAGCATTTCACAATATTTGTTCACATTTTACAGACTTGTCTCCAGGAACGTAACTATGATACACAATTTGCACCTGAAACAACTGCATTGTAATTTTCAACTGACATTAGGAGGTAAATACCTTTCAAAATGCATATAATTATGATGTTACAAGTGCATTGCCCTCTTCACCCCTGGCCATAGTGTGTATAAGCAAAATGGGTTCAGCTACTATCATGAAGAAATACAATTAAATATGGCACTATATGTACTGTCTGTGTTAAAGAACAAAAGAAGTACATAAGAAGTCATAAAGACATATCAACTCATGTTATAACTTATATTTAACAACAGCAGCAACATAAAAATTGAAGGAAATAAAAACATTTCACCAACAAGTAAATAAAACATGAATTATTTGATTCAAAGTGTTCAGTGCAGATGTCATGTAAATTCCAAGCATGCATTAATAGTGGAAAAAGAATAACAATAGAAATCTATGTAAAAAAATGAAAATGTAGTTTTGATATTATATAGACAGATAACATAAACCACTGAAATAACAAATAGCACTTTAAGAATGGAAAAAAATTCCCTGCAATTGTAAAAGTAACAGATCTAATTATGTTAACATGTATCCAAATGATAATATTATTTCAAGATAAAAATCCTATATATCAAGTGAATTTTGAATCACAAGTAGTCTTTTTTTTTTACATTTGAAATTTCCTGCCCCCGCCCCATCCAAAAAAAAAAAAAATAAAAAAAAAATTAAGATTTATAAAATCATTGCCATTTTTTGTTAGTTATAAAAACCTTTCATTGTTTCTTTTATCTGTTGTAAAGTATTCCACAAATATATATATAATCGCAACAACTTTTGTTTATTGTATTTGTAAGGGTAACAGTTTGTAATAATGATAAGCAAATGGATATCTACAATTTTATTCAACTCTATGTAGCATTTGGCGCATGGATTGATAATTTTTCTAAGAAGCAGTGTCGAGAATTTTATATGTCTCTAGATTGACATAAATGTATCGCTCATTTGCGTGCCTTTATATAGTTGATAAGTCCATTTGTGGAAGCATCATGGGTGTTTACGGGGTTTGTACCGCGTAGTTCTGGTTGAATTGCCTTTGCAAGCTGCTTGCCCAACTCAACACTGTAACAACATAAGATAAACTTTAATACTACTTATCTTTAAGATAGATAACTATATTACTGAACAAAACGATCTAATTATATCAATGATAAACAATTTGTAACTGTCAAGAGTTATTATATCTCATGAAATATTGTGTATAAAATTTATAAACGTTAAAATCATTCTGTTTCAATTTCAATACCTTATGTTTGATTCGCAAAAGAATTGCAACATAGAATGTCTCTTTTATTTAAAAGACATGAATATTGAAAATTAAACAGAATAAAATGTTTCAGAACAGAATTTTATGCTGCTGTTTTAAGCAAGGTTTCCATGGTTAACCCACTATATCGTAAATGTATCATTTCGCTTTTCAGGAAATATACTTATATATTTCTTTTATACAGGTATTTTGGAATTATTTTTCTTTCAAAATTCAAACAATAATTTTGTAACCACAGACAGCAGATATATTGTTTTACCAACTTTTATATCAAAAGTTTCAACCACCTCATATTGTCAATGGTAAATTCCAAATTTGAAGACATTTATTTTCAAAATGAACGGTGAAGAGAAAAATGGAATCCCTAAAAGAACGTCCAAAATTACAAAACTGAAAATGTTGCAGGCTTGGTTTGTTTCAGCCTGTTCATAGAAGGTACTAGAAAGTGCAAGTTACATCTACGGCCCCTAGCATCACGAAAAGTTCACCAGCAAAATAGTTATTAGGAAAAATCAACATAATAATCTTATAAAAAAAATCAATATATACATGTATATACGCAAGGTACTTTTTTTCGCCAGTGATGTACAATTTATATATATGCAGATGTTTATAATGTAAGAAAAATCTTACCCCCATTGATCATATGAATTGATGTCCCAAATCACTCCCTGGGTAAATATCTTGTGCTCATACATAACTGAAAAACACAAATAATCAATGTCTAGAAAAAGCTAGTGTAATTTACAGACATTAATATATATAAATGTAATAAACATACTAATTTATTAAACACATCATTTTGTGATTTGAGTGATTTCTGGATGAATAAAAAAAGTGCCTTATATAATGAAAACAATCCAAGAATTTGAAAATAGGCATATAAGAGTATGATATATAAACTAACCTATTAGAGATCCTAAGGTAAAAGGGGTTACTTTTTGCACAAGTATAGAATTGCTAGGTCTGTTGCCTTGGAAAACCTGTCAATAAAGCATAATTTTACATGGTGAATATTCCTTCATGAAAATATTTTGGAACATTATGATTATCTAAATAATCAACTGATCTACCACTTATTTGGTCAACTCTTTAAATATTACAACACAAATATTCAGGCCGTAATAAGCTTCTGCAGTAGTGTAAATCAGGAAATAGAATTTGGAACAGACAAATGAGAACCAAACACATGTTCTCTGTGACTGTAAATGTTAGGGAAAAAAACAGCACCCTCTTAACTAATTCTTTATCAACAAAAAAAAACAAGAGGGCCATGATGGCCCTGAGGTCGCTCACCTGTATATAGGCCCCCGGAGCGGGGCCAGTTTAAACCCCAGGGCTTTTATTTGAGCAAACTTGGAAGACACCTATTAGAAAGATGTTTCATGCTGTTAAGTTTTTACTACACACATATAATGAAAAACAATGACCTCCGTCCCCCCCCCCCCCTTTGGCAGGGCCAATTTAAACCCTAGTGCTTTTATTTGGACAAACTTGGTAGACACCAACAAAAAGATGTTTCCTGCTTAAAATCTAACCTCTAGCTCATTGGGTTTTTTAAAAGAAGATTTTTTAAGTTTTTACTATACACATATAGTTAAAAACAATGACACCTCTGGGGCCGGGCCAGTTTTAACCCCAGGGCTTTTATTTGAACAAACTTTGTAGACACTTACTAGAAGATGTTTCATTCTTAATATCTAAACTCTAGCTATTTGGGTTTTTTCAAAGAAGATTTTTAAGTTTTTGCCATACACATATAAGGAAAATCAATGACCCCCGGGGCGGGGCCAATTTTGACCCCAGGGCTTTTATTTGAACAAACTTTGTAGACACCCATTAGAACATGTTTCATGCTAAATATCTTAGCTCTAGCTCTTTGGGTTCTTTAAAAGAAGATTTTTTAAGTTTTTACTATATGCATATAGGGAAAATCAATGACCCCCTGGGGCGGGGCCAATTTTGACCCCAGGGCTTTTATTTGAACAAACTTGGCAGACACTCACTAGAAGATGTTTCATGCTTAATATCTAAACTCTAGCTATTTGGGTTTTTTCAAAGAAGATTTTTTGAGTTTTTGCTATACACATATAAGGAAAATCAATGACCCCCGGGGCGGGGCCAATTTTGACCCCAGAGCTTTTATTTGAACAAACTTTGTAGACACCCATTAGAACATGTTTCATGCTAAATATCTTAGCTCTAGCTCTTTGGGTTCTTTAAAAGAAGATTTTTTAAGTTTTTACTATATGCATATAGGGAAAATCAATGACCCCCCGGGGCGGGGCCAATTTTGACCCTAGGGCTTTTATTTGAACAAACTTTGTAGACACTCACTAGAAGATGTTTCATGCTTAATATCTAAACTCTAGCTATACGGGTTTTTTCAAAGAAATTTTTTTAAGTTTTTGCTATACACATATAAGGAAAATTAATGACCCCCCGGGAGGGGCCAATTTTGACCCCAGGGCTTTTATTTGAACAAACTTTGTTGACACCCATTAGAACATGTTTCATGCTAAATATCTTAGCTCTAGCTCTTTGGGTTCTTTAAAAGAAGATTTTTTAAGTTTTTACTATATGCATATAGGGAAAATCAATGACCCCCTGGGGCGGGGCCAATTTTGACCCCAGGGCTTTTATTTGAACAAACTTGGTAGACACTCACTAGAAGATGTTTCATGCCAAATATCTAAGCTCTAACTCTTTGGGTTTTTTAAAAGAAGATAAAGTTTTTTCTTTTGGTTGCCATGGCAACCAGAGTTCTGCATGGAATTAAATTCTTTGAACAATTTTTAAAGGTGACCACCAAAGGAACATTCCTGTGAAGTTTGGATGAAATTGGCTTAGTGGTTTATGAGAAGATGTCATTTAAAGTAAAAGTTTACGGACGGACGCCGGACGGACGCCGGACGAAAAGCAATCACAAAAGCTCACCCTGTCACTTTGTGACAGGTGAGCTAAAAAACGACATAAAATATTCCTAAAAACGCATTACAAAATCAAAATTGGGATATTATTTTTAAAAGTGATTTCTTGACTTAATTTTTCTGAAATCTAACACCACACTGGAACTGCACACATCCTAATAAAAGAAGATTAAAACATTCCAAGGTAAGTTAAGCTGATCCAGATAAGTTAGAAGTCATCCCTGATTGGTTCATTTATTCATTTATTGAACCCTTCAGAGCAGGTGAAAACTTAAGAGGGCATTTAGCCCACAGAGACTTGGAAGTGGCTAGTACCTGTAAAACTAGTGCTAGAACTGTATAAACTGTATAAATCCATATTTTTAGTTTGTCAGGTGACATATGACAGCCGCATTTAATTATACTGTGCTACAAATAAAATGTATATAAGCTGTACCTTATGAGGTAAGATATGGTTTATATCATCAGGAGACATTTTGGCCGCCTCAAGTTCAGCTCTTGCTACAGCTTCTGTTTTGCCCTTCATTAAAGCCTCAGTCTGGGCTAGAAAGTTTGCAGTCAAAATCTGAAACAAAAATCAAACCTTTCCAATAAAATATAACTTTTTCATGTAATACGGTAATATTACATTGTGATGAATAAGAATTGAGATATCTTCAAAGAGAGTAAGTAGAAAAGAAGGGTAAATGTCTATTTTCATAGGTTGGGCTGAGTTATATCCTCTTATAACTGTATTACTTATAACAATATACTGCTAATACTGTTGTCATAGTCTTGACTAAGTCTTTCTTTATTCCATATGTTTACACTCTTCTTGTTTACATTCAGATATTGCAATATGTCAGAAATATCAATGTGTTGGGGTTTTTTTGTTCCGTTTGCAATTATTTCCCTTAAAATGAGATATCTTGTACCTTGAAAGGTTTTAATATACATTGTATGTAACTTTATTTAAGACAAAGACATCAGCTTTGTTGAACTCAAATCAGGGAAGAAGAACTGCTATGTTGAACAGGAAAAGAACAGTTTTGTTTGAAATGTAAACGGAACACGAAAAGTTAAATTGATTCAGCATAAACTGTTAAATTTGTTTTAAGCAAAAAAAAACAACAAAAACTAGAAATGTGTCCATAGGACACGGGTGCCCCCACCGCGCCACTGTTCTGCTGTCAATCTTATGACTCTAGGTCAAATATTTTTTGAAAACTAAAAATCTTTTACTAAGTAAAGGGCAAGAACTTTACAAATACTGAATAAATCCACAAGCAAACCCAAAGGTGCATAAGTACACATGCTGACCAACATTCTTGTAAACTTTCAGGCCTACAAGTGAAATACTTTTTGAGCTATGCATAAACAAGTTAAAAATTGCAAATTTATACTACTGTAAGTCAAGGGCAATAACTCTAACAAAACTGAAAAAAATCCACATGCAAAGTTACCAGGTGCTTAGCTTCACAGTGATGTGAATCATTATTCCTGTAATTTAGTGATGTTGATCATTATTCCTGTAAAGTTGGTTGATTCTAACCCAAGCACTCAAGGAACAAATAACAACATAATAAAACGTTTTTTACTAAGTCAAGGGAAATAACTCTACAAATACTGGATAAATCCACAAGCGAAACCCAAAGTGCAAAACTAAATATGCTGAGCAACCTTCCCGTAAGGTTTAATGACTCTATGTCAAATCCTTTTTGAGTTACATGCGACACAAGTTGAAAATTGCAAAATTTTACTAAGTCAAAAACTCTAAAAATACTAAATGAATCCAGACGAAAATACCCAGGTGCACAACTACACATGCTGATCAACATTCCTGTAAAGTTTCATGACTCTAGGTCAAATACTTTTTGAGTTACATGTGACACAAGTTGAAAATTGCAAAATTTTACAAAGTCAAGGGCAATAACTCTACAAATACTAAAAATATCCAGACGAAAATACCCAGGTGCACAACTGCACATGCTGATCAACATTCCTGTAAAGTTTCATGACTCTAGGTCAAATCCTTTTTGAGTTACATGCCACACAAATTGAAAATTGCAAAATTTTACTAAGTCAAGGGCAATAACTCCAGACGAAAATACCCAGGTGCACAACTACACATGCTGATCAACATTCCTGTAAAGTTTCATGACTCTAGGTCAAATACTTTTTGAGTTACATGCGACACAAAAGAGAACTGACGGACGGACGGAAGGACGGACAAGGGTAAATCTAAATGCCTGCCACTGAAGTGGGGGCACAAAAACAGTACTGTTGAAGATAAAAAGGTATGTTGTATTATTTTACTGAAACATTGTACTAATGTATATTAATCCAGTTCATACTTTTGCTAAAGCAAGCTGCTTTAAGATCTTAACACAAGTGATTTTACTCATGGCTACTTTAACAATTATTTTGATTTATGAATATGAGCCGCGTCACAACAAAACCAACATAGTGGGTTTGCGACCAGCATCAATCCAGACCAGCCTGCGCATCCGCGCAGTCTGATCATGATCCATGCTGTTCGCTATCAGTTTCTTTACTTGTTATAGGGTTTGTAAGCGAACAGCATGGATCCTGATCAGGCTGCGAGCAGACTACGCGGATGCGCAGGCTGGTCTGGATCCATGCTGGTCGCAAACCCACTATGTTGGTTTTGTCGTGACACGGCTCATATAATGTTTACCTCATGATGCAGTCCATTCTGTATGGGATTTTGTGTTTGAACAGGCATCAGAAAATCACATGGTATTAATCTAGTTCCTGTAAAAAAAATGAATGAATGAATGAATGAATAAACATATGAATAAAGCAAGCAAGCAAATGAATGAATGGTCATTTTTTTTTTCTTGAACAAAAAACTTAAGTTCATCCAATTCTTAGTTTTTGTCTTTTTTTAAACCTGTTTTATTCGTTTATTTGTTTGTTTTGATTTTATATGCAAATTTTGACACATGTAACACCTGGGTGGTTGATCTACCTCACCAGCTTTCATAGTTAACAAACCAAATTCACCACTAGTGACCAACTACACGATTTCTGAATCTGTAATGAGAGACAAATGACCATTAGACTAAATGCCTGGGATCAACTACCAAAGCGAAATTACACCCTGCCCGAGAATTGCACCAGTGGCCCCTTGATGATGAATCCAATGTTGTCCATATTTGAATTAGCGGTTAAACCTTAAAAAATCTCATTAATAAGTCAATTCCAGTAAAATTTATATATCCATTAACTTTGGTACATACCTTGATGTATAAGTTGATAAAATGCGTGTTGTCCTTTTATTTCCCCAGGTTCCCCCCAAACCGATAGGCCCAAATTTTTGAAAATTTCAACCTGTTTGTAACTTCTTGTTACATACTTCCCAATTACTTTTCCTTTGCCCCCTTTTTTAAAAATTTATCACCCAAAATCAAATGCGGTACTGTTGAACAAATGACACAGTTATAAAAATATGCAGCAAATCTATGCAGGTACTGTTGAACAAATGACACAGTTATAAACAAGAATGTCGAACGACACATATGCCCCCCTTTCTAGCCCTTGACTAACATAATTGGTAATTTTGCTACAGAAACTTGCCATAAATGGGTACATGGAAGTGTTTCAATTACGGAAAAGAAAAATAATGGAGACTTTCTGTGATAAACAGTTTTCAAGATAATGAGATATTTTAAGGCCCCTGTGACCTTGAAAAAAAAAAAAAAAATAGGAGAAAAAAAAAAAGAAAAAAAAAAAAAATATCTTTGAACTAGTGACCCAAAATTCATAGGGGGTCATCTAATAGGGTATTAACCCAATCAATATTAAACAAATATGAAGACTTTGTGGATAAATAGTTTAATCAAGATAATAAACCAGAAAAACCAAACTGACATTTTCAAGAACCCTGTGAACTTTACCTTTGACCTATACTCACCCCCAAAATCAATAGGTTCACTTAACTTGTGATAAAAAATCTTCAAGGGATAATATGCCAGAAACCAGTCTGACACTTAAGGCCCCTGTTGATTCTTAACCTTTGATCTAGTGACCCCAAAAAGAATACGGTCATCTGTTAGTTAAATACCCAATCACATTGGGAAAATATTGAAAACTGTGATAATTTTTATCTTTCAAGGATAATCAGCTGAAACCATTTCCATTTCAAAGAACCCTGTGACCTGACCTTTGGGACCTAAGGTGACCCCCAAAATTCAATTTAGGGGTCCATCTACTAGTTATGCCAAATCAAAGTGAAATATGAAGACTTTGTGAATTTACTTTTCAAGATTAATCAGCGGAAAACCATTTCGACATTTAAAGGGCCCCCTGTGACCTTGCCTTTTTGACCTAAGTGACCCAAAAATCAAATAAAGGTTTTATTTACTAGTAATGAACCAAAATAACTATTGTGAAAATATGAAGGGACTTTGGGTGATGAATTACTTTTTCAAGATTTAAAAGCCTGAAACTATTTTGACATTTTAAAGTTTTTGTTGACCTTGGGACCTTTGACCCTAGTGACCCCAAAAAATCAATAAGGGGTCATCTAACTTGTTATGATTAATCAATATTGAAATATGAACAACTTTGTGATGAAAATTACTTTTCAAGATAATCAGCAAGAAACCGTTCTGACATTTAAAAACCCCTGTTAGACCTTGACCTTTTGACCTAGTGGCCCCAAAATCAATAGGGGCATCTTACAGTTATGACCAACATATGTGACATTATGAAGACTTTGTGATGAATACTTTTCAAGATACATCAGCGGAAACCATTTTGACATTTAAGGCTCCTGTGACCTTGACCTTTGACCCCAAAATCAAATAGGGGTCTTCTGTAGTTATGCCCAATCACTATATGCAATATGAAGACTTTTGTGATGAATACTTTTCAAGATAATCAGTGGAAAACCATTTGACATTTAAAGCCCCTGTTGACTTTGACCTTTGGGACCTAGTGATCCCAAAATCGATAGGGGTCATCTACTAGTTATGACCAATCACTCTGTGTAATATGAAGACTTTTGTGATGAATACTTTTTCAAGAAAATCAGCGGAAACCATTTTGAAAATTTAAGGCCCCTGTGACCTTGACCTTTGACCAGTGACCCCAAATTCAATAGGGGGTCATCTACTAGTTATGACCAATCACTTATGTGAAATATGAAGACTTTGTGATAAATACCTTTTAAGATAATCAGCGGAAACCATGTGGTCTACCGACGGACAGACCGACGGACCATCATTAGCTAAACAAAATACCCCCTCTTCTTCGAAGGGGGGCATAAAAATATGCAGCAAATCTATGCAGGTACTGTTGAACAAATGACACATTTATAAAAATATGCTGCAAATCTATGCGGGTACTGTTGAACTTATTGTTGTTATTGTTATGTGTTATTGTTGTGCTTCTTGTTTGAAAATAGATCGTAAAATTACTATTTATAGAATAACAGTTGTCAAAGGAGACAGCACGCTAAACTAATTAGGTACTGGATAAAGTAAACAAGATAAAAGTATGATAATAATTATATATTGATGATAGAATTTAAAGAAGATAGAAAAATATTTTACTGCAAAAAAAAAACATTAACCAAAATCTGGAAATGGATGCCAGGATGTATTGGACAGCTGTTCATATAGTTTGTATATCTAAGTTATATATTTTTATCCATATGTTAGTAATGATTGTAATAAAATAAACTAACCTGATCATATGGTAACAGTGCCTGTGTCTCTGCCCCAAAAAAGTTATTATACCACACGCCCAGCAGTGCTAAAATCACCGGAATCTGGAAAAAATAAAGTTACATTTATTATGTTACAAGAAACATTTTCAATAAGATATTCTTTCAAGAAATGAGTCATATGCTTTTAAAATGACAACATTTTACAACTTTATTAATGAGTTGCTCAATTATGGATATTAATTATTGTAATTATCTGCTATTATATGAATATCTGTTATTTATATATACATGGATTTCAATTGATTAGGAAAATTGTGATGATTTTTATTTTCTAAAATTTTCAGCCCTTCTCTACAAAAGTCACTTCATTAAGTTATGAACTTTTTTTATGTTATACTTTGATTTTAGAACTACATGTAACTGTAACACTACAAATCTTAAATTTAAGCAGCCAAGATGATAAGCGCCCTATTTAGACTGCATACATGTCTCGGCTAGCCAGGGCATTGTACTGTTTGCATAGTCCAGACTCAATTCGGACATTTTTTTTTCTGCAATTTTAATACTCACATTTTGTTCTAAGGGGGTGTTTAAAAAGTGTTGATCCATATAATGAGCTCCTGCAAGAAGTTGTTCAAAGTTGTCCATTCCTGCAATACATTCAACCAATAATAATTATACATAACAAACTTTATCAGCATTTTTCAACTCTTACTATGCTTAATTTAAATAATAAACTGGTCGTGGCTTATGTTTGGACTTGAAATTAGTACTGAACCTGGTAAAATTACACAAATGTTCTAGCTAGCCTCCCAAAATCATAAATGTATACATCAACAGTTACTATATCAAGATAACTTTTATCCTAATCCTGCTGATTTTTCTTTGCATGTGCACAATTCTATAAGTTTGTCTATTTGACAAATTGGTTATAAATACAAGTATTATGTTTTTACCTGTATCACAGCGATTGTTTTACATATCTTTTGATTTGATTAATCTGATTTCCTTCATCAGTGACATCATTTACCTTTTTGTGGCAAAATAAGCTTAAATAAGTTTAAAATACATTCATGAAAGATTCTTTTCGTCAACATGGTTCATTGAAGTAAGACAAATTTATTGTCTTTATAATCTACTAACAAGTGTTGCAGATGTTTAACTGTTATAAATGCACCCCCACCCCCCTCCTTGATTATTCACACCCCCGAGACCATAAATTATTAACAATATGGTGTACATAGTAAATAGCTAACTCACCAATAAACAAAGCTATAGACATTCCAATAGCTGACCATAGGGAGTACCTTCCTCCTACCCACTGTAATATACAAAACAGTATCTTCATTGCCTTATATGATATACATGTATAATATAATTCATGTATAAATTAATTTGTATATAAGACAATGAAGCATCTTGACATTCGCTTTCCTTTAGAAGGTCATCTGACACACCTTGGAGATCAACTTTATCATGACTATTGCAGAATTTCTACTTTTTCAAATATTAACCCAGTTATTGGGTAAATAGATTTAGAATTTATAAATCAATTTTTTTTCAAAATATAATTCTGTATGATACTCTCGCTTCATGACCATGTTTCTTTATATGACACCAGTACTGGTTGGTTCAAGGATGTGGACTTAAAAGTGATTAATATAAGTTGCAAAACTTTTTTTTAAAAATCGGGGTTTAATAAAAAATGTTTAAAACCCTTTTTGTATGCAGCCATTTGGGTTAAAAACTCTGACAAGTGCAAAAAAATCAAACTGAATTTTTGGTCCCCACTGTTTTTTTTTCAGTCCCGTACCCATTTTGAATACAAAACCCCGAAATGATGAAGGTCTTGGGCCACCAAAGAAAGATTTTTGTTGTTTGAACATTAATTTTCATTTTTTAAAATCAAAGACATTTTTTGTTTTTATACATAACATACCCTGGGGTGTTGCCAAAATTTTTGAAAATTTCTTTTTATCTTTAAAAAAAAGAAAACAATTACTGGTATTGGTATTATAAATTCTTTTAATTTACTTAAAACGGTTATATCACCTTAAATATATATATGTGGTTGTTCGCTATATGTGCCTGACCTAGTGACTTGGGTCATATTTACTTACAACCATTTATAGTGGGCCATATAATCTGTCTAAAATGTTGATAATAAAATATTTATGATATTTGAGATATAAACATAAACAAAACAAAGCAACTTACATCCCAAAATTCAAACATGTTAGCTTCATTAATTCCAAACTCTTTCACCAATTTCTGAAACAAACAAAACATATTTTACCATTTCTTCAAGTAATTAAAAGCATCAGAGAAAAAAATGTCTTAAAATTTTCAAATGTTCTTAAAACATATCTTTATTATATGAAATGCACAAAATTAATATGTGCATGTATTTTTTGAAAACAAAAGTGATTAGCCTATGCCACCAGTATAGAGACAGGCCATCCTGTTCTTGTGTGTGCAGTCTGACCAGGCTCCTAAATTAGAATTTTCATCTTCATATCCCCATAGTTGATAATGGTACGGTTCCAAAATTTGAAGATGGACAAGTCCATTTCAGAAATTCAGAAGATTAAGGGTTAAATGACCTTTTAAATGGGAGCAGTGGCTTAGTGGTTAAGGTATCTGCCTCTCAACCCAAGCCCTAATCTTGTCACAATCATGTTTCTTCATATGACACCAGTACTGGTTGGTTACAGGAAGTGGACTTGAAAGTGATTAATATAAGTTGCAAGAACTTGTTTCGCATTGTGCTTAAATTAATATGTGTAAACCATTTAAGCCAAATGACCTTTTATTAATGGTGGGACAGGGAAATAAAAAAATCTAAATAAAGTAAAATAAAATATTTACAAAAATTATGATGCAAAGTAAAATAAAATTGTTTGATAATCCATATCTAGAACATGTTTATCAAAGTGCCATAAATTATAAATACATACATCATTAGTTGAGAGGGCAACAAAATGTTTTGCAACAGCATTTGTCTGAAAAGAAAAGAAAGACAAAATATGTGACAGGAATTTAGACAAAATTTAACCCTTTACCACATATATACGCGAAACAACGCACTTTCGACCCCCTCCCCCCTTATAAGGCCCCCAAAAAAAAATAAAGTGGGGGGGGGAAAAAAATAGGGTTTAATTTCCCCCCCTTTTTTTGGACCCCCAAACATAAAGTTTTCGTTTGAGAAATGTTGCTAAAAAAATTGAGCACTTTTTCGGCGCCGCCCCCCATCCAAAAGATTACATCAGGGGGTTGCCAGAAGGGGGAATGGTTGCCCCTTTTCTTTAGGGGGGTTTGAAGGGGGGGGCGGAGTCCCCTCATCGCCAAAGAAAATTTTGGATTGTGCCCCCTTTTCTGTTAGGGGGGTTTGAAGGGGGGCGGAGCCCCCTCATCGCCAAGAAAGATTTTGGACTTGTGAGAGGGTTTAAAAATCTGATCCCAGGTCGGTTTTGACCCCAATAATTTTTAAGTTTTAAACCAACGTTTTAAAAGGCCTTTTTTGCCCCCCTTCAAACCCTAAACCCCTTTAAACATTGCAGGCACCTTTAAAATAAATTTTTGGTTTTGGAAAAAACCCCCAAAAAGGCAAAATTATTGAATTTTTGGCAAAATTTTGAGATGTTCCCTTTCGTTTGCCCATTTTCCCGGAAAATTGGGGTTTTTGACCCCAATGTATTCAAAGGAAAGGGCCCCCAGTCAACAGTCCAATTTTTAGTTTGAAAAATTTTTTATTTTCATACCAGGTTTGAACTTGTAACGGGGGTTTTTCCCAGTGAAAAGGGGCCATTTTTCCCAATATGCCATGGGGGAAAAAAAAAAAAAAAAGGGAAAAAAGGGTTTTTTCCAAAAAAAATGTTTATATCACAAACCCACAATATTCACATGTGAAGTTTGGTTGAAATCCTGTGAGTAGAAGTTACTCATAGCGGAAATTAATTGGCACCAAAATGTCGGATATCTGTTATAATTCAATATCATCACGATTTCAAAAAATATACTCAACTTAAAGGCATATTTCTGTAGAAAGGGCATACATGTGTTAATGATGTTTTAATTTTATGATTTTGAGTGGATTACTGATCTATTTATTGTAATTATAAAATAACATCATAACTTACATCTCCATTCATCTTCTCCAACAGCCAAGCTTTAGCAGAATTGGCATTTGTTATGGTTTCCTGGGTTGTGAATGTCTGGAGAAAAAAGGAACATGAAATTTTTGCTTCTGTCTTTCTAAAGGTTAACAAAAATGAAAACAGCCAATGACCTACTGAATTTGGCCTTTAAAAGTGAATTTACTGTAGACAGTTTTTGCTTTAACTGGTTTATAAGTCAAAGCAATATTGAAAATTACATGGTCATAAAGCAATTTTCCAGCTTTACAAACAGAGGCAGACCTAGGAGGTCTCTCTGTGTATTTTCAGGCATACCCGGGAACTGGCATAGAACCATCGTCATTCTTCAAGCAAGCTGGTTACCTTCTTCATTATGTAGGACTTCAAAGTCCTTTAAAAGATTTTTACTCCTCAGTTGTAAGAGGAAACTATTTCAAAGTCAGTAGCATTCAGTTACAATGGCCTAGCTAATGTCATGGCAAAGTTTGTTTTTTTTCCTTCAGGAATAAAAATGACAATGTATTTTGGAAAAATGGTAATAACATCACTTAAGTGCAGTAATTGGTTAACTTCTATTAAATAATTTAAAGAGTTAGCCCATTACTGCACTATGGCGGTGATAAGTCAATTATCATCACTAAAAATTCTTAGGATTTTAACAACAACAAAATAAATCAACATAAGCATTCTGAAAAGGCCAATTTTACACTGAATTCGACATTATCATTTTTACCTATACCCTTAATGATAACTTTTCCAAATGAGAAAAATTTCTTTTCAAAGTGACAGATACTTAAGTTATTTATTTTCATGTTTACACTACACAGTAAAATTTACCTTGGAAGCTATGATGAACAAAGTGGTTTCTGGGTCGAGACATTTTAATGTTTTAGCCATGTGCGTTCCATCTATATTCGAAACAAAATAAACATTGGGTCCACATTGGTATGGCTGCAGGGCTTCAGTTACCATTAAGGGGCCCTGTAAATATTCAACCATATAAATACTAAGGGTAATGGAAAATTTTGGCAAAATTATGCGAGCAGATAAAGTAGGACAAATGGCACATCTGATTAGAATCTCTAATTGAAGCATTTTGGTTATCAAAAAGAAAAATTCCAAATCTAAACCAAGAGGAGACATTTATCATATAGAATTTAAATACAAATGTAAATATTTAAGGTAATGTTTTAAACTTAAGATGAAGTGACTCCTTCCCAAAATATGAGCTTAGATAAAACCCGGATGATATCAGAAAACTAATTTACTATTAAAAGACAATTTCAAATAGCAAGAGAAACAAATGTTTTTATTGTGATAAAAGAACTGTCAACTTGCTAAGCCTAAGATACATGTACAATTTCAAACATTATTTTATGAGCTTTTGCTCAATGATTTTTCTTGAAAAATAATGCTTGTTACTTACTATGGATATATATTTTGGCCTTATATACATCAATTTTTGATGATATTATTCATTATTGTTATAAAAATACATAAAATATTATAAAACAGTTTACAGAATAAGATTCTCCTATCCAGATTACATAAAAACTTCCAAATATAATTCTATAATTCTCCAATCTAGATCTTTCTAAGGAATAACAAAGTATCGCACTTACCAGATCAGATCCACCAATACCAATGTTAACAACACTTTTGATTGGTTTTCCTGTATGACCTTTCCATTCCCCAGACTGAACCATCGTGGTAAACTTGCGCATATGTTGTAACACATGATTCACATCTGGCATCACCTACATGTTATAATACAAAAACTGGAATAAACATTTTGAGAATAATATTTAAATTATATTCTTATTCTAGCCTTTTAGCTGTCAGGTTCAATTTTAGACATTTAATGTTCAGCCGGCTGGCCTAATATTGATGGCTACAAAACATCACTATGATCTCAACTGATACATGCAATGTCTATGAAATTCACTTGAAGAAATATAATTAAAGCTAACAAATCTTTGCAATAAATACCTTCACTGCAAATATCATTTATAAAATCAAAAATTTTATCTTCATTACCAGTAACTGTTTTTTGTTTTCATGGGTATGAAAATTTATCAAAATTATAAGACAGTGAATTAGATTAAATACTAAAGTTTCCAGGAAGGAGGTTTTGCTTAGCAACCAGGCTATAAATAGCATAAAGATCTTAGATCTGATACAACATAGGGGTCTGTAGTGTATACTTACATCTTTTCCGGCAACCATGATTGGTTTATTTGACCTGTTTCTCAAGGCAATATGAAGGACAGCTCTATCCTCGGTAAAGTTGATCTTCTCGCCACCAAACATGGCATTCCTCATCTCCTCCACCTTTCTCTCCCGAGCCTAAAATATATCATTATCATTACTTGTTCATATTTTGTTAAAGGCACATTATGCCTCAAAAATCCATATATATATTTTTTTAATTATTTAGAAATGTCAAACATGTGTTTTTATAATGTTAGATTATGGATTAAGAGCATGTTAGATGTTTTACAACTGAGAAAAACAGCAAAATCATATTAGATGTTTAACAAGTGAGGAAAACTACACAGAACATGCAGTTATGCCAAAGAGGTCTGTTACTGACTTCAAAGGAAACTACAAATGGATTTCAAAAGTATGTACATGACGTACTTAAAATCAGACAGCGATGATATTTTCACTATCAAGTTTCAAGGTATAAGTAATAATATTCCAAAAACATGACGTACCAGATCAAAGAGAAGTTTCATGACATCTTCATTGACAAGATTCTTAGAGAAGTCAAACAGTAGTTCCCCTTCTTTGTCATTCAATTTTGTACTGAAATAAAAATTGAAGTCAAAATCATGTCAATATACAATGTAAATGTTCAAAATGTTTAATATAAAAGGAAGCAAACATACCTACCTACATGTACTTAACCAATGTTAAAAAATTAAATGTTATGTTTCATAATCAGAAATCAGTATTTTCTATTTAATTTTTTCCCCCTATTTTTTTAGTAAGGTTGTAAATAACAGTTACATCAGCACTAGGACGGTCATGTGGCAAGGTTCCAGCTTTACAGAATAAAAAAAGATCTCAGGTACCGTTCTGTCCATAATCTGATGGTGGGCAGCTTAGTAGAACCTTTAACCTTATGCTAGCTAGATAGCAAACCCATATTAATGAGGACCATGTGATATGAAATATAAAGTTAACTCAACCACCAAGGCCTGTCCATATTGCTCAGGTTGTGGTATTTTTCCAGAATTTACTTTTTAAATAACATATGGACAAGTCATGAAATGAAAACAGACAAGTAAGTCAAAATTTGATTTTGCTGGTCCAGTTAATTCTACCATTTGTTTGTCCTACAACTAGAACACATGAAATGTTCCCATGCATTAATTTTAATATTATTTTTTTTTATTCTAAACTTTACATTTAAAACTAACATCAATATACCGTTATCTTGCAATCAAATACTGCACACAAAATTTTAGTGCATCAAACATTCAATAATCTTAATTTATGGAAATTACTTTCAAATTTTCAATATGATGAAAGACTGAATTTTTTTGTTTTGTTTAGTGGTGCATACATTTACATTCAAAAAAACAAACAAACAAAAAACAGATAATGACAGTAAAACTTTATGTTATCTTTTTAATGTACAAGAAAATCAAAAGGGTGAGAAGCAAATTTTAACTGGGGAGACATAGAAATTACAAAACCTGTAACCATGCAGCCACAGTGTTTCCCGGTCAAGTTTTAATAACATTTTAACAAACTGAATCCCTGTTGTTTCTTTATACCAATGTTAATATTATAAAAAATCAGAATAAATCTTCAGTATTAACAAAACAATCCTCCTGCAATTTACAGTACATGTGTCGTTAACTTTTGCAAATTTTTATGAAAACTTCAATTATTCAAATTTCACTTTAAAAGGATTCTTATCCTAATACAATCTAGTTAGCTAAAGTAAAGCTGTATACCCTTAAAACTGAAATAAATGTTTTATGAAACTAAGCAAAATTTAATAGATAAAACATCATTGTAACATTGTTAATATATTTCAAGCTATTTTTCATACTTTCCCAATTGGGAACAATCTACAGTGTCATTCCCAGCAAGAGGAAAGAGATTACTATCCATTTTCATATACCCCTAGCAGAGCCAGTAACATATATTGATTACAAGGTTAATCAACCCAATGATGATACTATCAAGCAATGATATTTCTGTGACATGCTTGTCAGCAATGAAGTATTATCTCTATATTGGCACATAAATCTGCAGAATTGACTGTTGAGAGACCATCACATTTTTTCTTGCATTCTCACATAATAAAAACATGCCTATACAAAACAAGCAATTATCATAGTATTGCAAGCAATCCATAAGTCCCCTACCGGTTAGAACCCCAGCAACATTCTGAATGGCCATTGGCCATTCACTTATGTTTCTATTTTAAGTAAATTTGTTGAAAAAGTTCTTTAAAAGTGATCACAGGAAACAGTTTTTATGTACAGACAGATGGACTGAAGGACACTCTACAGTTATTTTTTAAACATCCCTGTTATCAAAATATAACATTTTTAAAAGCAAAATTTTTAAAAAGGAGATAACTCTTGAAATAAAGATGCAAGATGTCATACATGATGTGAGTGCAACAAAGAACAATTAGTAATGAAGGTATGAATAATGAATGTTTATTTTGAATTTGAAGTAAATGAAAGTTAAAAGAATGACTAAGAAAAATTAAAAGTTTAAGGAGATAATTCTGGAAATATGGATGCTAGATTTATAAACCTTGTAATATTATTATGATGTGGGAGTTTGAAGAAAATCCTATCATGATTGAAGAAGTTGTTGAAAACTTTGTCACATATGATGTGGTTGATGACTAGCAACTTATACAAGGGGCAGGAAGTGAAGTGGTTGCACACTTGGTTCAAGCGAGCGATTTGGTTGCAAACTTGACAAAATGGCAAACACGGCGTGATTTTTTTAAACGGGTGAATGAATTTTTGTCAGGCAAGTGAGTTTCTTTGTTATTTTGAAGTTCATTAGTATGTCTATTCTATAATGCAATATATATACCACACTCGGTTTAAGGTTTCAGCATCCTGGATTCTGTTTTGACGAAGTAATTGAAGATATAAACTGATCATGTAGATATTTTGAAATTTGACATGTGACTGTTCTGGTCGGTTTTTCTCCTAATTTATTCGAATTTGTAAGCTTTGAACTGCATTTAACAATAACAAAATATGTTTCTGTCAATGCAGTACAAATGGTTTAGGTCGCAAGTCCGAAGATAACGTTCAATACACAAAAATATCTTGTTCAAGCATATTTTGGTTGCAGACTTATACTTCAAGCATTTTTGGTTGCAAACTTATTCTTATTCTATTGAAATTCATAGTAAAACTTTGCATAAGGATTGTAGTAGTTTATATTTATTAACATATTTTCTATGGCAATTATTGACATTTATGTTCTTTTACTTGTTTTTGTTATAAATGTTATTTATACTTTCTTCTTTCATGTTTAAAATTACATGGTTCTCAGTTCAATACTATAATCATCAGTAAAAGCCTGCAAACAAAATAATAGCACATAGAAGAAAAATATTTATTGATATTTCAATTCTAAAATATGTCATCATATGTAAAATGCAAATGAAAACTACATACAAAAAAAACGTATGTGAGAGTACTGCTGTATGTAAGTGAATTATTTTCATCATAAACATAAGGACATGTGCACACATACGATGTTACTCGGCAAAATTTCCAAAGTTTATCAAAACCACAATAAATGTTATTTTGTTTGTTTCGTATGTAAAGATCAGCAGTTGCTTTAGACATAAAGTATGTAATGTACTTATAAACTAAAAGTTAAAATGACATGCTTGTTTTCAATATTTCGGATTTGATGTACATATCATATATGTCAACTGGTATTCTAAAAATTATTTTGACTATTAGATCATAATATAACTGATATACGATTGGTAATTTACATTGACTGATATGTGACAAAACTACTTAAAGTCATTGTTCGAGTTAGGAAATTTTGAAGATGTTTCGATTGGTCAATAATAAGGAACAATTTAAAGAAACATGTGAATTGTTGACATATAAATAATGCCCTTGCGTCAATGTTTTTTAGAATACCAGTTAATATAGTTTTTATCTACTATATAATCAAATTTATTTCAAATCTAAAAAAAGAACAATAATGAAAGCTGTTTGTTGCTATTTTTTTCTTCTTTTCCTTTACTGTTAGTCATGCCAAGATAAAAAGGTCCTAAGACTATGTAAAAAGAAAAGAAGTATATCAAGGAGAAAAAAATGATGAAGATAAACACAACTGAACTTCAATTTAGCATATTGTGTTTTATATCTATTTGAAAGACCCGTGTTCGGATATATCTGCACGTATGCACAATTTGTATATATATATTTCTTATTAGATGAACGGGTATAATTGCCTTAATATTGCTAATTATTTAAAAAAAAGGATAAGTTATTCCTCGCTAAAAATATGCATGCCACATTATTGACACAAAAGTTTGCAACCAAAAATGCTTGAAGTATAAGTCTGCAACCAAAATGTGCTTGAACAATATATTTTATAGATCAAGTTTCATAAAAATATTTTCAGTACTTTTTGCGTTATTGCGGGATCCAGTTTTGTGGACGGACGAACTGACGGACAGACAGACGGACGATAAACCTAAAGTCCCCTCTGGTACCGGTAGGGGACTAATAAATTTGCAAAATATTAGTTTTTTGTGTTTAGAAAAAATATAAGTTTAACACAGAAAATAAAATGGCAAAATACAAATTTTCAGTTAAAAAAAACGCATAAAATAAATGTAAATGGAGTGTACAAAGAATATGTCACAGATTGAAATTATATAGTAATGGCAGCCGTGGATTTCCATAGTTTTATTTAAGCGGAAACATCGTGCACACGCGTTTTTATTCGGTTTCGTTTAGGTTTTATCGTATAAATTTAACATCCGGTATTGAATCAGTGAAAATCGACAATTTCCGTCAATGATGTACATTGTCGATCTCACCCGTGCAATATAGTGAACACTCTTTCTTTCTTGTAACTTATCCAATTGTTGTGTTTGTTATGTATGATTCTATGTGAGAGAGATATCCATTGGTTCTTTTAAATAGTTTTTACTTCTGCGCACTGTTTGCTTTTCCTGTCCCGCTCACTCTTTACAGTCATCTCTTACGAGTCAGACATAGTAAAAACTTAACATTTATATAGATCTACATTTACTTTACCTATTTCAATTTATATTGAAATAGTTTAATTACAGACGCTGTGACCATTTTTACCTGGATTCATTAAAAAACATCGAACCTACGCCCAGAGTTTGTTTCTTTTCAACAAGAAATATTTGATAGTTATGGCAGCCGTGGATTTCCATAGTTTTATTTAAGCGGAAACATCATGCACGCACGTTTTTATTCGGTTTCGTTTAGGTTTTATCGTATAAATTTAACTTCCGGTATTGAATCGGTGAAAATTGACAATTTCTGTCAATGATGTACATTGTCGATCTCACCCGTGCAATATCGTGAACACTGGTCACTCTTTCTTTCTTGTAACTTATCCAATTGTTGTGTTTGTTATGTATGATTCTATGTGAGAGAGATATCCATTGGTTCTTTTAAATAGTTTTTACTTCTGCACACTGTTTGCTTTTCCTGTCCCGCTCACTCTTTACAGTCACCTCTTACGAGTCAGACATAGTAAAAACTTAACATTTATATCGATCTACATTTACTTTACCTATTTCAATT